AGAAATTAACGAATCGTAATGAAACTTGGTAATTATGTTCTTTGCAATGAATGACATTCTTTAAAAATCGAATAATACAAATTTAGAAAAAAAACCGAATAATTATTACGGAATGTCCCCCCAAAAAAAATCCAAAAATCCGTTATTACTTCAAAAAACATTAACCGATTTTTATAAAACTTGAAAACCATGTTCTTTGCGATAGTTAACATTTTTTTATTGCAAAAAAGTAAAAATTTAGAAAAAAAAACCGAATAATTATTACGGAATGACCCAAAAAAAAAATTCCAAAAAACAGTTATAACTTCCAAACAAATTACCAGATCATTATGAAACTTGAAAATAATTTTCTTTGCAATGAATTACATTCTATGAAGGCGAAAAAAATACAAATTTAGAAAAAAACGCATAATTATTATGGAATGTCCCAAAAAAAATTCCAAAAAATGGTTATAAATTCGAAAAACATTAACGAATTCTTATGAAATTTGAAAACGATGTTTTTTGCGATAGATAACATTTTTTTATTACAGGAAGGTAAAAATTTAGAAAAAAAAACAAATAATTATTACGGAATGACCCCAAAAAAAATCCAAAAAACGGTTGTAACTTCTAAAGAAATTAACGAATCGTAATGAAACTTGGTAATTATGTTCTTTGCAACGAATGACATTCTTTAAGGGCGCAAAAATACAAATTTAGAAAAAAAGTGCATAATTATTACGGAATGTCCCCAAAAAAAAATCCAAAAAACGGTTATAATTTCTAAAAACATTAACGGATTCTTATGAAATTTGAAAACGATGTTCTTTGCGATAGATAATATTTTTTTATTGCAGGAAGGTAAAAATTCAGGAAAAAAACGAATAATTATTACGGAATGACCCCAAAAAAAATCCAAAAAACGGTTGTAACTTCTAAAGAAATTAACGAATCGTAATGAAACTTGGTAATTATGTTCTTTGCAATGAATGACATTCTTTAAAAATCGAATAATACAAATTTAGAAAAAAAAACCGAATAATTATTACGGAATGTCCCCCCAAAAAAAATCCAAAAATCCGTTATTACTTCAAAAAACATTAACCGATTTTTATAAAACTTGAAAACCATGTTCTTTGCGATAGATAACATTTTTTTATTTGCATAAATTGTAAAAAAAAAAATTAAAAAAGAAAAACGTACAATTATTACGGAATGACTCAAAAAAAAAAATTCCAAAAAACCGTTATAACTTCCAAACAAATTACCAGATCATTATGAAACTTGAAAATAATTTTCTTTGCAATGAATTACATTCTTTAAAGGCGAAAAAAATACAAATTTATAAGAAAATAGTTTATTATTATTATTATTATTATTATTATTATTATTATTACTAAATGTTCTCGAAGAAATCGAAAAAAAATTACAACATCTAAACAAATTAACAGAATCACTTATAAAAAAAACTTCTCTTAAATAATAATTCGAAGAAATAAAAAATTAAGCTAAATGAAAATTCAATGAAATTCTATTAAATAAAAATTTTTTTAATTAAATTAAAATCTGGAAATTTAATTTTAGGCATAATTCATGCATCTCTTTTTTCATTTCAAAAGCAAAAAATAATCTGTGCTAAATCTATAAAAAGAGGAGAAAAAAAAAATTGTATTTGCAAGTTCCATAAATCGAAATTGAAAGGAAAAAAAAAGAGGGGAAGAAAAGAAGAAATAAATTTCTTAGTTAATGATCTTTAAAATGGAATAAATCTCAACTAAGAACTGATAAAAAAAAGCCATTTAGAATCGATGTGAGATTTTCTGGATTTACCTCGTGCGAGTGGCGCCATCTGCCTTGACCTGAAAACAATCACCTTCGCGCTTGTTCCGGTTATCCATTAGTCGCGTTACTTCTTACTATATAGATAACGATCCACTATCATCATCATCCATGCCTTGTAAATTTAACGTCATCATTTTTTTTTTTTTAAATTTTTAATTTTAATTCTATTTTATTGATTTTTTTTTTTTGTTCTTTTTTTCCCTTTGATTTTTTGCAACGGATATAAAAAAATAAAAATCGTATCGTATCTAAAAATCGTATTAGAATTCTCATTTTATGGAATTTTAATTGTCATAATTGCTTTTGAGACGAATTTTTATTTGTTCGAATTAATATTTTGCAGAATTTTCATTAAAACGAATTTTCTATATTTACAAAATTTTTATCTAACCAAAAATCCACTTCACAGAATTTTTATTTTTTCGAATTTTTATTTGTCATAATTTTTATTAGCTTGAATTTTCATTTAATAAAATAGGCATTTTAAAGAATTTTTATTCGGTGGAATTTCATTGCATAGAATTTTCATTTTATTTTTTCAGATGAATTTTCATTTGTTCGAATTATTAACAAATTATTATTAACAAAGTATTATTAACAAAGTTTTAAACAGTAATTGAATTTTACAGAATTTTTAATTAAAAAATGTTTTATTTAATTGAATTTTTGAATAATTGGATTGAAATTAATTAATTTAGCAAAGAATTTTTTAGATACAAATTTAAGAAATAATTGAATTTTAAAAGAGTTCGAGTTAATTTTTTTTAGAAATAATTGAATTTTTAGAGATTTTTAATTAAAATTCTTGTTTTAAAATACTAAATACTTTATATAAGCTTCCGATTTCAAATTCGAATTAATTAAAATTCTACTGAATGAGAATTCTAAGAAATTAAAAATAGATTAAATTATAATTCTTTTCAAAGAAACAGTTGGGTAAAGAGAAATTTTGTAAAAAATAAAAATTCTGTCAAATAAAATTCTGATTGATTCATTTTAAAAAAATCGCGCCAAAAATCGATTGTTTGTTCGGTCATTTGCAATTTCGGACAAATGAGAAAATTCTATCAATTAGAAATTCTCTGATTTTTCGGTTAAATAAAAATTCTCTAGTATGGAAAAATCGGTTAATATGAAAATTATATGAAATAATAATTCGAAGAAATGAAAAATTCATCTGAAAGAATAAAATGAAAATTCTATGCAAATTAAATTCTATCGAATAAAAAATGCTTTAAAATGCCTATTTTTTTAAATGAAAAGCTAATAAAATTTATGATAAATAAAAATTCGAAAAAATAAAAATTCTGTGAAGTGGATTTTCGGTTATTTAAAAATTCTGTAAATAAAAAAAAAATCGGTTTGATGAAAATTCTGTAAAATATACTAATTTGTAAAAATAAAAATTCGGCTCAAAAAATAATTATATGACAAATAAAATTCCATAAAATGAAAATTCTAACGATTTTTTTTTAGAAAATATTCAATGCGTCCCGATTTTTCTATGATAATGTCCATTCTCCATTGATCCATATTCTATTCGAGAACGTCATCGAAGACAATCACATTTTTTCTCATGCGCAAACAGAGAGAGAGAGAGAGAGAAATCATCACAAATCTCCCAGGTGTTCTTCAGAGGGTGATCCATACACAATGAAGAAAGAAGGCAAATGCCCGATAAGGGAATATTAGATAAATCACTGTACAACATTTGCAAACGATATCGTCATGACACTTGCGCGCTGTTGATAGTCGATTTTACCTTCTTATTATTATGCAAGGTTACATTTAATGTAAATAATAGAAACGAAAGGATTTCATCATTTTCTCGCTAAGTGAATTCACAGTATCAGAGCGTGAAAAAATGTTTCAAATCGCAAATGAAGGTTTTCCTTTGATTTCGTGACTTTCTGTCGAAATATTATGTTTCTATATATATGTTTATAAAAAAAAAAAAACAATGATAAATTGTCCAGCTTTTAAGGCATTTCAATATATTGAGCAAGAAAAATAAATTTATTCATTTCCTTGAATAATAGCTTTTAATTTTCAACAAAAAAAAAAATCAATGATTAACATTTTTTATTTTATTTTAAAGAATTTTTTTTATTTTCAATAAATTTAATTAGTTGATAAATATTTTTTTATTTTTAACAATTTATTATTGGAAATAAAATAATTATTCCTTAATAAGAAAGGATCCTTAATTCACAGATATAAATTTTCAACAATTTTTCTTTTTAAACCACCGAATTAAACTGAGACAATTTTTCAAGATTTCAATTCAGTTTCAAAACAAATTTTCAAGTTACATTAAAACAAGAGAAAATTTTTCACATTATTCAAATTCAAAATTTCGGTAATTATTTTAAATAATAATTAAATTTTCCAAGAATTTCATTAAAATATTATTGTAGAAAAATGATTTTTAATGAAAATTTGTCAAATTATTGAATTTCAGATGATTTTTAATTAAAATTTTAAAAATAATTGAATTTTGAAAGAGTAAATAGAAATATAATAAAATTATTAAATTTAAATTATTCAATAATTTCAATTTTAGATAGAAAAATTTAGAAATAATTTTATTTAGAAGAGTTTGAGTTAAAATTTTGAAAAATAATAATTAAATTTTTAGGAGATTATTAATTGAAACTATCATCTTAAATTGCGGTGCAAAATTTTTTGAAAAACTTTAGACTTTAAATTTTAATGAAATTTCAATTGAAAACTGTTTTTTAATCATGTAATTTTCAAAGAATTTGTTTTAAATTATTGAAAATTGATTTCGCAAACAATTCGAATTAATATATATTTTTTGAATAATTCAATTTTAAAAAATAAAAAAAAAAAATCGTGCGATCCGAGGCCTATTGAAATATTTTCATAAGGGTCAGGAAAAAAAAAAATTTCAAATTTTAACTGGGAAATCAGGAAAAAAGAAAATAAATTTTTTCCCTCTCAACCTTGAAAAATTCTATCAAAATAACAAATTCATAAAAAATAATAATTCAAACAAAAAATGAAAATTTAATGAATTGAATATTCTAAAAAAATATTCCAGAAAAAAAAAATTGAAATATAGATGAGAAGTTTTTTTTTTATTTTTCATTTTTTTTTTTTTAAATAAGTGTTAACAATTGCGTTATTGAATGTGTCATATTAATGAAAAGTAGAATATATTTCCTTAGAAAAAAGAAAAGAGCCGGCAGACAGTAGTGGCGTTGAAACAAAACCCTCGAGCAGTGAATTGTCAACTGGAATTATTGGCGGAGCGACAGTAAATTCCACATCCCAAGGAAAAGGAACAAAAAGATCACGAAGATAGTAAGTATCTTTATAATTTAATTCTCATTCATTTTAATGACATTGAATGATGCAAAAATATATTCTTTAAAAAAAGAAAGAAAAAAAAACAATACTTCTTCCATAAACAGTAATCGCCGTAAAGAAAAATAAATTCAATTTAAATATTTGAAATAAAATTATAAAAAAAAATCAGAAATTTATTTTTCTGTAAAAATTATAAAAATTTCAGTTATATTATTATTTTGCCTTTAAAAAAAATGTATATATGTAAAATTTTAATATTAGATTAATATTGTATTCGAAAATCTAAGAAATTAGTAAAGATTTATTAATTAGTTATTATTAAATTAATATTTAAAATAAAAACAAAAAAAAATATTTTTTTTTTGTAATTTTTTATGGCGATTACGTGATTTATGTGACAATGACAATTTAAACTAACCTTCTATTTGTTTGAATAATCGTTGTTCGAGCGCCGATGAAGATTGTGATGATACTGACAACAAAGCGGTACGCGAAAAAGAGCGCCGCCAAGCCAACAACGTTCGCGAAAGGTTAGTGAACACACGCAATGCGCACTTTTTAATGCATTTTTTATATTAAAAAAAAAAAAAAAAAAAAAAAAAAAAAAAAAAATCCTTCAAATCTCCTAAAATCCTGTTTTTATAAAACACAAATAAAATTCTCTGATATTTTTAAATTTTCCAATTTTTTTTTTTTTTTTTTTTTTTAATTGAAAAAAAAAATTTATTTATATTTTCTAGATTTAAAATTATTTTGTAAATTTTCTTTTTAATTATTTATATACATAAACGGGCCTTGGCAAGAAAAATAAAAAATGGCCCCTTTTTAAAAAATTTTTATTTCATTAAAAATTAATTTTTTTTTTCGAATTTCTTGTGAAAAATGTCAAAGAAAATGAGCTTTTTTTAAAAAAAAATTCCTCTTTCCTCTCGAGAAAAGTATATTTATACATTAATGAATCCTTGGTGAAATCCAAAAAAAAAAAAAAAAATATCCATCCGAGACCTGTTGCACTTTCAAGGCCCGTATTCAAACGTCAATATTAAAATGTCGCTGGTTATTTGACAAAGTTGAGATAAATAACGATCATGCGGCGTTTCTTATCCTTCTGAATCAGAATCATTTTAATGTGGCTGGGAATTGGTCATTAAGGCATGCTTTTCTTTTCTAGTTAGAAATCCTCCCCCCCTCTCTCTTTTTTTTATTATTACTTTTACTTTTTCTCTCTTTTATTCTTCTTTTTTTCTTGTCTCTCTTTCTTCTTCTGCATCAATACTTTTTGTATTTTTTTAAAATAAATTTATTCTATTTCATCTTCATTTTGTAATTTATTATAATTTTCTTTTGAGCACGTTCTTCGAAAGAAAAAATTCTTTGAAGAAAAAAGAATTGTTTCAAAAATTTTCCAAAATATTCTGAGCAATTATTTTTTTTGCAAATAAAAAAAAAAACAGTATTTCTTTTGGGAATTTATAAAGTTTAAAAAAATTAGAAAATTAGAAAATTTTTATTTAATTATGAAAATAAAATTAAATTAAAAAAAAAGTTTAAATTTCAATGTGAGAATGATGATTTAAAATTTTTAGAAAACTTTAAATTAAATATTGACGTTTTCTATCGGTTGCGAAAAATGTTGAAAATATTTTTTTTTTTTTTTTTTTGGCACATGGATGAAAAAGGGGGAATTTTTTCAAAATTTGAAGAAAATCTTTTTTAAAAATATATTTTATTTTTTTTTATTTGTTACCAAAAAATTTGAGAAAGATTTATTTTTTAAATAGAAATAAGAAAAGAGGTTTTTTTAAAAGGATATTTCTTTAAAATTTAAATAAAAATAATCTCTTGGAATTTTTTTTAAGACATTTAAAAAATAGAAAAAAAGAAAAATTTCTTCAAAATAAATAAATAAATAAAAATTTAAAGATAAATTCGCTTCTTTTCAAGAACAATAAAGCGGAGAACGAATTAAAAATTTTTTTTTAAATATTTTTTCAAATCTTTTTCTTTTACTTTTTTAAAAAAATTATTTCATTTTCTTTTCTCTTTTTTTTTCTTATTCTAATTTTTTTTCACAATTTTATAAAGAAAATTTTCATCTATTCTAATAATCTTCTTTCAGAATTTTTTTTTCGAATTTTTTCTTGAAAATATTATTTATCATTTTTACAGATATAATTTTATATATTTGCATAATAAATCAATTTTTTTCTGAATACTTTAGTTTTTAAAAATACTTTTTTTTTTAAGTAAAAAAAAAACATACTTTATTTTTTAAAAAATACTTTTAATTTTTTTCGTGTTTTTTTTTTAATTTAATTTTTTTTCACTTCAATATTTGTTTGAAGTTTCATTTCTTGTTTGCAGAATCCTGACTTTCCTTTTTTTTTTTTTTGCAAAAATTATTTTAAAAAATAAAAAAAAAAAAAAAACAAAAAGAGATTTGAATTTGAATTCTGGATTTTTATTTTCACTTTTGTTTCCTGAGAATACGGGCCTTTGTCATTGTTGTTATATACATAAAAAAATGAAAAAAATATATTTTTTTTCTCGAAACTGAAAATCGTGCGTGTGTTCACTTTTAGAATTTTAGTGATTTCGAAAACTTCAAAATCGCTCAAATCAACGATTCAATATAATCAGTTTTATGAGATTTTTCATTATTATTATTATTATCATTATTATTATTATTACTATTATTATTACTATTACTATTATTGTTATTATTGTTGAACCACTCGTTTATATAAAATTTTTTGCACTTTTATTTATTGCCTTTTTCTTTTTTGATGATATAATTAAAAATCAATTTCATGAATTCGAAAAGTAATAAAATTTTTCTAACTTTCTATATTAAAAAATTTCCTTTTTTTTTGAGGATTAAAAAACTTTCAAAGGAAAAATAAAAGTAAAATTGAAAATAATTAAAGAGTAAAAATAATAATTTTCTTTTGAAATTATAATTTGAAATGTAAAAAAAAAAATTTTAATTTATTAATAAATATATACAAAAGAAAATATTTTTAAAAAAATTAAAAAACAAATATATGTCATGAAAATGGACATTTTTTTTTTTTTTTTTTCTAAAAAAGAGCAAATTTTTTTTTTTCCTAAAATCGATAAAAATATTTTTGTTTAACGAAGTGGTTCGAGAGTTTAGTTTAGAAAAATGATTATGTGTTTTTTTGTAATCCGGTGATTAATCGAGTATTGTTATTGCGCAAATATTGTTCAAGCGCCGAAGATGAAGACGATGATCCTGATATGAAGGCCCAGAGGGAAAAAGAAAGGCGACAGACAAATAATGCTAGGGAAAGGTAAGGATTCAATTAGAAAGGTCCGCAAAAAAAAAAAAAAAAAATTATCGAGCGTGAATAGTCTTTTTTTTTTTTTAAATAATTTTCTTCTATTTTGCGTAAAGATTCGTTGGCCCGTATTCTGCAAATTAAAAAAGAAAATAATAATTTACGAATAGCAGATGATTAAAAGAATTAGAAAAAAAAAAATACAGAATTCATGTTCTTTCTCTTTTAGATTTTAAACCTCGTTTTATTCTATAATTTTATTTTATCTCTCTTTTATCTCTCTTCTCTCTTTTTTTCAATTCTTTCTATTTTTTTTTTTTTTTTTTTTTGGTAAACTTTTCCCTTTTTAAGAATTTTTTCCCTGTGTAATATAAACTGAATAATATAGAAAAAATGATTTTTTTAAAAAAACATTTACGATTTAATTTTTAAGAAAAATATTTATTCTACTTCATTAATTTTCTATATTATTAAAATTTTTAACAAACAAATTTTGTTTCTATTTTGTTAAATTATCTTATTAATTTATATTATTATTTTAGGAATTTTATTTTCTTCATGAAGTTAAAATATTTTCAATTATTTTTTTCTTGTGAAAAGAATTTTGAGTAATTTTTTCCAGTTAGTATTTGGAATTTTTTTTTTTTTTTTTATTTCTATTTAATTTCTATTTTATATTTTATTTAGAAAATTGGAATTTTCAATTTAATTGAAAATTATTTAAAAGTTAAATAAAAAAAATTTATGTTTTTGTAAGGAGCTCTTTAGCTCGTATTTCGTTAAATAAATAATTTTTTTTTTTTTTTTTTGAAAATAGAGAATAATATTTTTTTTAATTTTCAACAGGATACGTATTAGGGATATAAATGAAGCATTAAAGGAGCTCGGCAGGATGTGTATGACGCACCTGAAGACGGATAAACCTCAAACCAAACTAGGAATTCTCAACATGGCAGTTGAAGTCATTATGACATTAGAGCAACAAGTCAGAGGTAAAAAATTTTATTCGTTATTAAAAATATTCAGGCTTTCACAGTGTTTCCTCTATTCGACTATTTTTCCTATATTTTAAAAAAAAATTTAAAAACTCATTTCCCCTATTTTATGTTGAAACTCGAATAATGGAATATTTCATAAAAATCCAAATTTGAACCAAAAAATTACAAGCTTTGGATTGTACGACTTTTTCAACTTTTTCCGAATTTTTTTTTTTTGTAAATACGACTTTTTTCGATTTATTTTAATAAGATGCTACTTTTTGGACTTTTTTTTATACATTTTTTTACAAAATTTTTAAACAAAATACAGATTTTCTTTCATTTAATTATTTAACAAATTTTTAACAAAAATTCTTCTCTAAATTAATTTTTTTAAAAAAATAATTTTAATGAAATTCTTTACGAGTTCAATTATTTTAAAGTATTCTTCAATTAAAAATTTCATGAAATTCAATAATTGTGAAAATTAAAAAAAAATCATCAAATAAAGTTCTAAAAATTTGCAATTCAAAGTCACTTAAAATTCAACTATTTTCAAAAATTTCAATTTAAAACCTTCTAAATTTTAATTATTTCTATAATTTTCCATCTAAAACTTTCTAAAAAAAAAATTATTTTAACTATAATTTTTCTGAAATTCAATTACTTTTAATGATATTTATATTCTTCGAAATTTCAATTCTGTAATTCATTATTCAATTATTTTAAAAAAAAATTGAATTTAATAATCACTAAAATGAAATTTGAAATTTGAAATTGATTAAATTAGACTTCAAAAATTTTTTAAATGAAACTTTAAGAATTTTTTTTTAAATTTGTCCTACTTAATTAAAATATTGAAAATTTATTCGATATAAATTTTCTTAATTATATTTTTATAGAATTATTCTCGAATTAATAAAATGAATGTAATATCTAAGAACATTAGGTATTTAAAGTAAAATATTTATTAATCAATTAAATTTAATTTAAAAAAATAATCGACTTTTTCGATTTTATTTTAGAATGTAAATCAACTAAAAACCACTTTTTCGTGCCTTAAAGTCGATCCGAGGTCTGAGCAATTTAAATTAACGAAAATTTTGATTAAAAATCTCCTGAAATCACAATTGTTTTCAACAATTGTAACTGTAACTATTTTAAAATTTAATAACTTTTTCAAATTTTTTACTTAAATTTTTTGTAAAATTAATTATTTCTGATAACTTTAATCAAAGTCTTCAAAAATTCCATTAATAAACACAATTTTTCAATTAAAAATTTTTTTTAAATTCAATTATCTTCCAAATTCGATTAATTCCAAAATTTGTATTTAAAAAAATTCTTCGCTAAATTAATTATTTCAATAATTTTAATTCAATTTTCTCTACAAAAATTCAAATTTTTTTTATTAAAAATTCTTTAAAATTCAATTATTGTTGAAAATTTTGTGAATAATTTTCAGCATTCAAATTTACAACAATTTCAATTAATAAATAAATTTTTTTCAATAAATATTTTCATTAATTTCTTTGAAAATTTAATTATTTAAAACATTTGCCAAAAATTCTGAATTCGAATAATTTGTACAATGACTTGGAATTTTTTTCTTCTTTTAAAGTTACATTTAGATTTTATTCTATTTTTCCCCTTTTTTCAAATAAAATTTCCTATTTTCTCCCCCCCCCCCCCTTTTTTTTTTCTAGCAAATTTTATGCTGTGAATCCTGAAGTATGCAATGTTTAGAAATTTTTTTTTTTATTTCATGAAGTTAAATTCTTTTTATATTTATCTATAAAATTTGCATTAAAAAAAAAATTTTTTAAACAAAATAATTTGTCAAGACCACTGAAAAACTTTTTGCAAAATATTCTTAGTATTTTCAGGTATGTAAAAGTAAAAAAAAGTTAAAGAAAATTGTACTCAAAGTTAAAAAAAAAAAAAAATTGGTTGTTTATAAAAAAAATCTTTTTTTATTTTTTATTCAAAAATTTATTTTCTTGTTAACATATTTCGAAAGTCGATGAAACTTTTTTTCATTTGGAAAAAAATACTTAAATTCAGTACATTTTTTGGTGTTAGATGTAATTGAAATTAGGTCTACTTTTTTAAAAAAAAACCTTGTTAAACCCAGATTTTTAAAAATTCATAATTTGAAAATTTTGTCGCACTTATAAAAATATGTAAAAAATATTTTTACCACTTTTTTCTGCAAAGAAAAAAAAATGTTATTTTATTGTACAAAAAATAATATTTATATTATTTTTGTATTATATTATGTATATTTATATATGTTTTTTTTAGTAATATAATAAAAATAGTATGAAAATAGTTATATAATATAATTAAATAGTAAATAAATATTTTTTTTTTCTGTGAAAATAATCGTCAATTTATTATTTGATTGCTTTGCAGAACGAAATCTTAATCCAAAGGCAGCGTGCTTAAAAAGGAGAGAAGAAGAAAAAGCGGAAGATGGACCGAAATTGGCGGGACATCTGGCAGCGCATATAGGTCATCCACATCCACATCCGCATCCACATTCTCAAGCTCCCTTTCCTGCGATGCCGGTTAGTATATACTTATATATATATTTCTTTTTCTTCCTTTTTTTTTTTTCTTATATTAATTTCATTGATGGAAAAAAAATAATAGAATTTTTTTTTTACCTTAATTTTACCGTCTAGAACTTTATTTCAATTTATTTTCTCTTTTTTTTCGTTTTGTTTTTATATCTTGCATTAACTTTTTTTTTTTCCTTAATTCTCGGAAAATTTTTTCTTTATTCATGTATTTTTTTTTAAGAGACGAAGGTTTTTTTTAATAATAAATAGTAAATGAGAATTTAATGCAAGATTATCAATAAAAATTGTTATTAATTCATTTTAAAATTTCCCGCCTAAAATTTGGCGATTTTCAATTTCGGACAATTTGAATAAATAAAAATTGTGGCAAATGAAAGTTTCGTTGAAATAAGAATTTTGACATTTTTAAACATTCGACTCAGTGAAAATTTTGTCTTATTAAGTGTGGGGAAATAAGGAATATTTTTTGAAAAAGAAAAAAAAATTTTTTTTCCTTTAAATGTAGCCGAAGAACTCTGAAAATATTGTCAAATGTTTTTTCTCATCATTGATGGATGAAGAAAAATTAATTGAAAATTTATTTTATTTCAGGGTCCGCCACCTTCTCTTCAGCACAATTCGTCGCAACCACAGTAGCAGCGGCTCGTTAGTGGCGTTATTCTGTGTTAAAGTCGTGTGCGTCAGGTCCAGTTTGCAGCCTGTACAGAACTCTCGACGTGGCTAGAGTTTAAAGAAAAATCTCTTTTTTTTTTAAAAAAAAAAACTCCTGCCTTCTTCTCGGTGAAAAACAAAAAAAAAAAAATTTTTTTTTTTTTGAACGATGAGGAATTATTTGCATTATATATAAAATATAAACGGCAAGGAGAATGCATATAGATATATATATATACAGATTAAAAAAAAAATATATATATATATGTGAGTATACATATGTAAAGCATAGCAAAAAAAAAAAAGGACTTACTCTTTCCCTTAAAAGAAAAAAAAATAAAATAAAAGCCACCGCGGCCAAATGATAGAAAAAAAAAAACTAATTCTTGTACATTGAGTTAAAAAAATATCAGTTTTGTGATGTGTCGGTGGTTTCATTTTTAAAACCCTTTCTTCATATTGTGTTTCGGCAAAAAGCGCGAGAGTATGCGTGCGAGAGAGAAAGAGACAAAATGGCGAAAAAAAAATAAGAGAGAAAATGTCATTTAAAAAAAAAAAAAAATTATAATAATTACTGTAAATTTCGTGGAATGTTGAATCTCGCGTGATTACCGAACCGGCATCAAATGACAATAAATAAGTATTATTCGTAAAAAAAAAAATCGAAATTCACGACACGTTTCCTGTTTCTTTTTTTGTTTTTCATTTCAAACATATCAAAAAAAAATTATAATAAATATTTTCTTTAGCGACGGGACATTTTTTTTTTATTTTGCAAATATTTTGTAATTCCTAACAAATTAAACATTTTTTTTTTCTATATTATCGATAATATTTCGATAAAATTTTTTCAAATTTTATACTGATACTAATATTATCAGTATTATCATATTTTTCGATACTTGCATATTTTTTTTTTCCGTGAATAATTTTTGCAAATATAAAAAAAAAATATTAATTTTTTTCCAAAAAAAAAACGAATTTGTGCAATTATCTAGAAAAAAAATTTCGATATTATTACCATTAAAATTAGAGAAATTATTTTTCCAACATATCGACGTCCCATGGTTAAAGAAAATCGAATTTCATTTGGAGATTTGTGCGTTTTTCCAGACAGGAAATCCTCGTGAATAAAAAACAAAAAAAAAAAAAAATGATGATGATGATAGGGAGGGAGAGAGGAAGAGTGCAAGAGAGTAAAAAAAAAAAAAATAATTAAAATTAGAGAGTGGCAATTTAAAAAGAAAAAAACTTGCAAGTGCAAAGGGAGAGAAAGAAAGAGAATCGTCTCTCTTTTGGCGAACAAGCGAAAGACGCGCACGATTGTAATAATAATAATTATAAAGAATAATATTGTAATGTGCAAAAATCGAAACAAAAAAAAAAAAAAAAGAAAAATTCCTCGAGGCAAATCGCGTGTTCACAAAACTCGAGGATTCGACACACGACAAAGACGAAGATAATTTTTTGCGGTAAATATAGTTTGTAAAACAGAAGCATATTAATTAGTCGACTCGTAGATAATGAACGGTTGATAAAAAAAAAAAAAAAAAAAAAAAGAAAAAATGAATTATACATACGGAAAAATAATAATAATACTGTACTGCTAATTTGTAAAAGTGCAGTGGCTTCAAATTATTTTTATAAATAGTGCGAGAGACTAAAAATATGGTTCCTCTTTCGAAGATAAAAAAAAAAAATAATAGCGCAACTCATTTTTTCACTTTTTACTCTCACTTTTTTTTTTCTTTCTTCATTTTTTTTTTCTTTAATATTCTTATAATATTAATATTAATAATATTAATATAATATAATAATATTATCATTTTTATTATTATTATTATTATTATTCTTTACTCGAAACAATTCAACATTATTTTCTTACGATTCTCGAATACACTTAACTTTTGATTATTTTTTTCTCTCACTTAAAAAAAAAAAAAACGAAAATTTCGAGCGTGAACTGATTTCGAAATTTTATTATTGACTCTCGAAATTTTTTTTTTTTTATCAATTTTTGGTAAATATAAAAGTATGTAAACAGAATTTTAGAAATAAATTTCTAAAAATAATAATTTGTTTCTCTTTTTTTTTGAAAAAGGGGAAAAGGGTAAAACAAAATTAGATTATTTTTTTTCTTTTTTTTTATGAATTTTTAGTTTTTTACAAAGTGAACGAATTTGGATTTAAAAAAAAAAATAAAAAAATAGTTTCATAGAAAAATTAGAAATTAAATAATACAAAAAAAATGAAAACTTATTTTTATTATTTCAACGATTTGACTAGAAGTAATTTTTAGAAAAAAAAATTTATTACAATGGTTTAAAAAAAAAATAGAATGAAATTCTTTTTTTTAAATAAAGACTAAAATTTTCGATTTTTAAGAAAAATAATTTTTTTTTATTAAATTTGCAATTTTGTTTAATTTATTAAAAAAAATTTTTTTAAAATCGACTAATTTTTCAATATTAATTTTTTGTTTCTTTTCGAACTTTTGCGATTTTAAATCGAATATAACCATTTTAATGTAAAAACAAAGGAATATTTTTTTTTTTTACAAATTGAAAACTATTTTTTCTGAAAAGGGAAAAAATGTTTAGATAAACAAAAATGTTAGAAAAAAAATTTTTATTTTATTACTTCGAGAGTCGACAATAATTTAACTCTTTGAAATTGTTCACGCTTTACAATTTTATTGTAGTTGATTAATTAAATTATTACATTTTTATTATCCTATTTCAATGTAATTATATTTAAAAAAATATATTTGATATATTAAATATTAAATATTAAATATATATATATATGAAAGCGCAAAAATAAAAGTGAATAAATTCTCAAAGTTTAAATACGTTTCTCCTCCCCTTAGATAATTTTCTCCTCTTGTCCAACGTGTACAGAGTTTTTATTCACATTTTTTTTATTCTTTTTTTTTTTGTTGAGTAAATATTACTTCGAATTATCTTATCTTTTTTTTTTTTTTTATTTCTTTTTGTTTAAAAAACAATTGTCACAAATTTTGAAGTAATTTAACTCAATTTGTGCGCTTATTTTCTTTTCAAAATCAAAAGTTAAGTTTAATTTTCATGTAAAGAAATTTTCTTTCTCGTTGAGAAATTGTAAATTAGAATTTATAAGAAATAACGGAAAAAATTTCAAATTAATTTATTTGGAACAAATTAGCCTTTTCAAAAAAATGCCCTTTTTAAAAAACTTGTGTATTTCTTTTTTTTTGAAAAAAGTTTTCTTTTTTTTTTAAATACCTATCAGTAAAAAATATTTTCTTTCATTAGAAAGAAAAGAAAAAAAAATTTATTGTTTTAAGAAAACAATATTTTTTTTGTTTTTATTGTGTACAAATTTTTGTACTGTAATAAAGACTTTTTTGGTGGCTAAATTTTTGTTTTTAATTAAAAATAAATTAAATTTTAAATTTAAAAATTATTTTACTAATTTAATTTTTATTTTTAATTTAATTTTTAATTTGAATTCAAAAATAAATAAGATGATATAAGAGTAAGAAAAAAAAAACAAATTTAAAAAAAAAAAAATTATGAAAGAAAATTTCTTTGAGTTTGAGAATCGAAATTTAAAATAATGAATTTGTCACGAGGATCTGAAAAAAGGAAAACAATAAATAAAATGTAGTGATCGTCGTATAAGTGAGGCGAGCGAAACGGGTCTGAAATTTTTTTTTTTTTTTTTTTTTTTTGTATATTGCGGAACGTTTCCAGACATATCTGGCGCATAATTGTAAATAATAGATCAGCGACGCATGCCTATTCAATTACCCTAACTACGATTATTATTATTATTATTATTATGCTGGCGATTTATTATTATTATTATTACTGTCATCGATCATTATTATTATTAATTATTATTATTAATTATTATTATTATTATTAATTATTATTATTAATTATTATTATTAGTTATTATTATTATTATTAATTATTATTATTACCAATTAATTATTGTCAACGATTGAGAAATCACTCGCAAAAAGTGGAGAAAAAAATCCATGAGAAAAAAGAGAAAAAAAAAAGAAGAAGAAAAGAATGAAAGAAAGAAAGGGGACATTTTTTGTTTTTGAACGAAAATATAGCTCAACGATGTGTACCCAGTTGCCATGTATTTTAATTTATTTAGATTCTTAAATAAATTTTATTGATAAAAAAAAAAAAATTTAAAAGAAAAATTTTCTTTTTTTTTTGTCTCTCTTAATCCTTTAATCCCAAATTTTTTGCTATATTTTTATTTAAAATATACTTTTTCCCCTCTCTCGTCCTCCCCCCCTCAAAAAAAAAGAATTTGGAGGGTGGACTATTTCTTTGACTCACTTTTTTTTTTTTGCGTTAAACGTTTTTTTACTTTATTTTCTATTTTAAATATTTTAATCTTTTTTTAAAAAATATTTAATCTCATATATTTTCTACAAAGCAGAATTTAATCATTTTTGGTGAAAAAAAAAATTGTTTTTGTATTGAAATTCTAAGAAATTTTTCCCCTTTTTTTGCGCTGTGATTGATCTTTAAAAAAAAAAAAATTGTGTTTCGTTTCTGCAGTAATGTGTGAAATATGTGAGGAAAAAAAAATTTTTTTTTTAAATTTATTTCTATATTTTTGAATTATTTTTTTTTGTTTGATAAAGAAAATTTTTATTTTTGTTTTTTTGGAAAAAAATTTGGAACAATATTTAATTGGAATAATAAAAGGAATAATATTTAGAAATTGAGGCGAGAGAAAAAATGAAGGATATCTTTTTTTTGCGTTTAAAATGAAAATAGTCGGGAATTTTTTCATTTTTTCATTTAGAATTTTAAGTGTACATTGTACTTGATATAGATATTGAGAGAATTAAAACTGCGATAGCAAAACTTGGCGCATAAGGTGCACGTTACTATTATTATAATTATTATTATAAAAAAAAAAATTGCGAGAAGAAAAATAAGATTTTGAGAGGAAGATAGAGAGAGAGAGAGAAAATTGTTTCATTGCCATTTAATGACTATTATCACTAATAATAACATAATAAATGTGCCATTTTTATACAATTGAGTTGTTTTCACTTATACTGTCAAGTTCCTGAAAATAAAAAAAAAAGACAAATTAATCAAGAAAAGGAGGAGATTTTAAAATCAATGTTTATCATATTTTTTTTTATTTTTAAAATTAAATTACATTAAAAAATATATTAACTTTAATTATTTTTTTGCAAAAACAATTATTATCAATTAGGTATTATTTTGAATTATTTTCGATAATTTAAAACAAATTTTTCGAAAATTACATAATTAAAAAAACAGTTTTCAATTGAAAATTTACAAAAATTTTTCACTAATTCAAAATGAAAGTTTCAATTAATAATCTCCTGAAATTCAATGATTATTTCTCAAAATTTTAACACGAACTCTTCTAAAATATAATTATTTCTAAATTTTCTATATCTAAAATTGAAATTGTTGAACAATTTCAATTTTAATAATTTTAATTAAAATTTTTTCGAAATCAAAATATTCAATTATTTAAAATATTTTTCAATTCAAAATTCTCTAAAGTTTAATTATTGTTTTTAAAGCTTATAAAATATATACAGAAATTACAATTTATGAAAATTAAAATTTAATACCAAAATTTTTAACTATTGCTCATTTTCGAAAATCAATTATTTCTAAAATTTTTTATTTCAATTTCTTTTTCAATTATTTCTAATAATTCTGATCAAGTTTTTCAAAAATTCAATTACACAAAACGTTTCTTAATTGTTAATTCTTTAAAATTAAATTTTTGTTAGCATAATTTTTAAAAAATTTCAATAATATTTTAATTTTCAATTTCAAACATCAAAAAAACGAAAATTCAGTTATTTTAAAAAAATTTTTTGAATTACAAATTCTCTTAAATTCAGTTATTTCTAAAAATTTTTTTTTCAAATTTTTATTCATATAAATCTTTGTTTAATTAATTATTTTAACAGATTGTAATCAAATTTTTTAAAAATTCAATTATTTAAAACGTTTTTTAATTAGTGTTTATATTTACAACAAGATAATAATTTTTGAAATTTACAAAAAAATGCAATTATTTCTAAAAATTTTTAATTGAACTCATCCAAAATATAATTATTTTTAATTTTCTATCTAAAATTGAAATATTGTTGAATAATTTAATTTTTGATCAAGATTTTCGAAAATTCAGTTATTTAAAACATATTTCAATTCAAAATTTTTCAAACTTTAATTATTCTTTAAAATTTATAAAATATCAACTGAAATTCCAATTTACGAAAATTTTAATTAAAAAACGTTATGTACCTAATTCAATTAGTTTCAAAAATTTTAACTATTGCTCCTTCAAAGCTCAATTATTTCTGAAATTTTTAACTTGAATTTCTTTTTTAACTCTTTATTTCTAATTAACTTTTTCAAAAATTCAATTCAAGTTCAATTTTTTTAATTATTATTTCTTTAAAATTAAATTTTTTTTCATGTACCTAATTTTTAAAAAATTCCAATAATTTAAATTAATTAAAATTTTAATTGAAAATTTCAAAAATTTTCTGTAATTCAATTATTAATGTGCGCGTACGGTCATCGGGGACCGTTGGTAGTCTAATAAAAAATTAAAAATATATTTTTTTAATTTTTTAAAATAATTATTATAATAATATTATTAATATTATTATATTATTATTATATTATTATTATTATATTATTAAAATAATATTTTTTTATAATAATATTATAATAATTATAATAAAATTATTATGTGCAACTTTTCTTTAAATATTTGTTTTCTCATGCTATTTGAAAGCGCGCGGTTAAATTATTCAATATGGACGCACTTGGAGTACGAATCTGATTGGATGACTTTTTTTGGCTGCGTGTGACGAGACCTGTGTAGTTGGATTATGGTTCATGTGTCTGACTTGTATGCGCCAAGTGGGGATGAAGTTCAGTGGTGGGATGTTGTGAATGGTGGGGACTATATGAGTACGGATCTGATTGGATGACTTTTTCTGGCTGCGTGTGACGAGACCTGTGTAGTTGGATTATGGTTCATGCGTCTGACTTGTATGCGCCAAGTGGGGATGAAGTTCAGTGGTGGGATATTGTGAATGGTGGGGACAATATGCACCTCAGGCGATTCCCATGGCAAGGCAAGTCATTCTGTTTCAGCTTCCAGAACCAGCAGCATCCAGGTGGACCAAGCAGGACTAGGACCAGGACCGGAATATTTTTTTGTCTGTTACAGATTTCCACAGCAATGGAGGAAACACAGCAGCGACCGAAATAGAGGGCGCTACATGTCAACAAAAGTGGGGGAATTGGAAAAAAGTGGGGATCCAGGGATATAATAGGTAACGCAAACCTGTTAAGCTCATTCTGTTTCAGTTTCCAAGATCAACAACATCAGCCTCGATACCAGCAGCAGTAGAATCCATACTAATAACATCAGGACTCTAGCAGAATTCATATAGCTGGTTTCCAATGTCATCAGGACTCTAGCAGTATTTTTATAGCGGGGTTCCGATTTTAACGTCAGCAAAAGCAATTTTTGTAAGTGAGGTATATAATAGAGTGGAAAGGGGGGGGGTTTAGTATAATGTTGAACATAGTTTAAAATTAAATTCTTCTGTTACAGATTTCCAAGAAAGGGTAGGGGGTAACCTCAAAACTACGATCTACACCTTAAATTTCATCATTAAGAGTCAACCTCCATCGCTAAAGTTATCCATGTAAAATTCAGTGAGGGATTTAAGCTGAGAGGTTCACTTTGTTGCGGATAGTAGTATTTGAAAAGCAAATTGAACAGACATTTTATGTAAGTTTCTTAAAGTTACCTTTATTTAAATAATACATAATAATTATAGTAGTAGTATTAATACTAATAACAGATTTTCCCTTATTCTGTTACAGGTACATACGCAATGAGCATCATCAACATTCAAACATCAACTTCACATTAAGTGTTTTTCCTCCTTCCGCTAGAGAATCCTAGGAGCTGAGAATCAACTTTGGACAACATTTTTTTGTTTTGTTTCAGCGTCTGCTTTTTGTTTCAGCGTTTGCTTTTTTGTTTCAGCGTTTACTTTTTGTTTCAGCGTTTACTTTTTGTTTCAGCGTTTGCTTTTTGTTTCAGCGTTTACTTTTTGTTTCAGCGTTTGCTTTTTGTTTCAGCGTTTGCTTTTTGTTTCAGTGTTTAGAATTTTTTTTTTTAATTGAAAAATGTCCCAACGTAGAGTTAATACACCGTACAAACGAGTAGCATCTCTTGATAGCATTAATGAAATTTGTGAAGCCTCGCAAAATTTTATTGATGTTGCCGATATAGAGTTGCGGTCTGTAACATCCAAATCGAATGATAAGCGAATCATTAGTACATTTGAGTGGTATAACAAATGTAAAAAACATTACGCAATTTTAATGAAGTTTTCTAAAAAGTTTAGCATCAAAGCTCCTCAAAATGAAAGAATTTTAAATTTATTAAGAAAAATTAATTATTATCAATGTCACTTTGATTCACTAATGAAACGCGAAGTAAGAATCAATCATTCTAATGAAAATATTAAATGGATTGTAAGTGATAGAGCTTTCAATAGTAGATTGCAATCTGGAGATATCATAAATATACTTCATAAAGATATTAATGAATTATTAGATGGTACATTTAGTATTTTTAAAAGTCAGGTTGAAACTTGCTTAAACAGGTTAGGTTCGATAAAAGTTTATACAGTTTAACGAAGTTGTTAAAAATTCCGAGAGATGGAGCTGCGTGTTCTTTTAGAGGATTTTATTTCACATATGTGAATATGAAACGTTATTATAAATACATTGTAATTAAAAATACAAATTAATTAATTTATTATTTTTACAATAATTAAATATATTAATTTTTTAATTAATTAATATTATATATTAATAATATTTCAATTAAAATATTAATTAGATGTATTTAATTATAATACAATTAATTATAATAAGTTAGTTAATTAATGTGTAAGTGTATGACGTCAACTTCGGATAATATGTTTTAAATTCATTGCTATTTTTATGTTTAATATTAACAATAATCACGAAATATAAATTATTGTTTAAAGAAATTAAATTTTTTTTGTAATAAGTACTGTAAGAATAATTATTTTTTAATGAAGTAATGTAATGAAATTTTGATCTCACTAGATCAGTTCAAATAATATTAAATCCGACTACTTTTCTTCTTTCGACTTTAATTTGTATTTATCTCTCAAAACAATTATGTAAAAGTTGGAAAATAAAAAAAAAATAATCAACAAATTTTTTGGCATTTTTTATTTCTTTAAAGATAACTATTACTTTGTTCAAGCAATTGAAATTAATAGAAAAATTTTGTTCTTTCCTTAATCAACGCAAAAGAGTTACCAATTTTATTTTAACCTTAAGATTAATCATTATTTATTTGAATTAACAATATTATTTTTTTAAATAGAGTAAATATAATAATTTTTTAATAATATGATGTAATAAAATTTTGATCTAATTAGATCAGTTAAAATAATTGTATTACCGATTACTCTCTTTTTTTCTACTGTAAAATGAAATTTCTATTTCAATATAATATATATAAATTTAAAATTAGCAACTAAATTGGAAAATAATGGAATGATACAATTCTTGTTTCAAGTAAAAATTATATTTAAAGAAATTAAAAATGCACAAAAATTTTGAATGAATTGTTTTTGATTATTTTTCAATATATTTTATAATTGTAAATAAATATTTTGAGAAAGAAAATCAATTTAAATTCAATAGAACTGATCTAATGAGATCGAAATTTCATTACATCACATCGCTAAAAATAATTATTTATACTGTTTTAACAAAATAATAATAATAATAATAATTGTTAAAACCTGAAAGATAGATTTTTAGATTTTTTGTCACAGGGGGTACCAGTTTTAAAAAAAACTGTTTCGAGTAATGCAGAGGTATATAATTGTGTAGAATTTTATTAAAAATCTGAATTTCTTCATAATATTTTACATGCGTATGTATGACATTATAAGTATTAAAAAAATATAAAAAAAGTAGAAAACATTTTTTTTTTCAATCGCAAGTACGCCTTAATATTCAACAGAATTTTGTTTCCAAAATTTCTTTTTTTTGCAGGGAAAGAAAAATATTTTTGTGTCTAACCTGAAAATTATAACTTTTCTTATCCGCGATTAAAGATGATCAATCCCGCGGATTTTATTATGAAAACAATTTTTATTAAGTGTTAAATCAACACAGATAAGCTGAATTTAAAATAGATTTCAGTCTTACCCTCTCTTTTAAACCCTTAAGATTTTCTTTTTTTTTTTTTGACTCAATTCTTTTTTTATGCAAAAGCTCTCAAACAAATACGATTGTAAACATGAGAATAACGTCGCTCAGTAGAGTGAATAAGCTGTCGTTAATGCTTTTATTCTCACGATTCTTTGGGTCAAAAAAACTTCTTGCATATAAGTGAATGTCACTTGGTAAAGATGTATTTAAAAATGAGCAATTGAGAGCAAAAAATAAAAGTATAAAATCAGGTTTTTTAAAACTTAAATTTATCAAAATATATTCTATGTTTAACTATCCCAGTAAAAAAAAAAGAATTGGGAGTAAGCGAAAAAAATTGGTGGTAACTTAAGGTGAATTCGGTTTGGTGAAAAAACGTTACGGTGAATTATTTTTCCCTTACCGTGAATTATTTTCTCTTAAACATTTGAATTGACGTTTGTTTATTCGAATTTGCATTATAAATGAATAGAATAAATGTTTCGAAGTCTAAAAAAGCCAATTTGAAATAAGAAACATATAATTTTTTAAAAAGAAATAAAAGGTGACATATTTACGGACAATTTTACCATGTGAGTAGTACTCATATGGTAAATTTATCATATAAACACTACTCACTTGATAAAATTGTCGGTGAATCTGTCACACTTCGCTTTTATTTCTTTTTAAAAAATTATATATTTCTTATTCCAAATCGGCTTTTTTAGACTTTGAAACATTTATTCTATTCATTTATAATAATGCAAACTCGAATAAACAAACGTCAATTCAAATGTTCAAGAGAAAAGAATTCACGGTAGGAAAAAAATAATTCACCGTATAACGTTCCAATTCGGTTTTTTCGCCAAACCGAATTCACCTTAAGTTACCACCAATTCTTTTCGCTTACTCCCAATTCCTTTTTTTTAATGGGTAGTTAAAGTATTCTTGTGCGTTACGTCGTCATTAAAGAAATTCAGAAGAAGATATTTTTTTGCAACCAACTTCACTGTTATGTCGTTGAAACATTTTTGATTAAATTTCTGAATAAAGAAAAAGAAACAAATTTTATAAGGGCTATATTAATAGTACAAAAAAGGATAATTTTTGCTTATTCTATTAACATCGTAGAACTGAAACGAAAATTTATTTCAGGAAAAGCCTTATCGAATTCAACACTATGATGATTCTTAAAGTGTCTCGTGATCCAGAATGATCCTCGCCAAGATTATGATTATTAAGTTGATCTAAGTAATAGGGTGCCATATGGTGATTAAGAAACAAAAGCAATTCAAATTTAATATAAGAGTTTAATTTAACAGCAATGACAATTTATTTATAAACTAGGAAAATTACACGCGCGCCAAATTGAGTATTTAATTGTTTGTTATAAAGAAATTAAAGATTAATATTATCAATAATAATTTAATCTACATTGGAACTAAAATTTTGGAAAATTTTCAACAGCCTTTTCTTGAAAACAAGAAGGTAAAATGCTTTATGGATAATTGATTATTGGCAAGATATATACCAGCTAAAACTTTTTTTGAGTTAAAATAATAAAAAAAATTTCATGTCAATAAATTAAATATGAGCACTTTTTTCACAAAAACTGTAACAGTACTTTCTCAGAAATTACAATCAAAAATGCAATTTCCATTTGGAAAATTAATAAACGCTAAAAAATACACGACCTAAGATTTACCAATCACGAAAATAAGAAAAAAAAATTTGATTAAATATTTAACATATTGATACTGCTTTACTGATTGTGACAGCCCTTTGGTAGATTATGTATTTCAGGTGGTTAGCAACAGCGCCAATCTCCTCCTTTCGGCAAAACTGCGAAACGTCTGGTGACATATATAACCTGCCAAACGGCTGTCATAATGAGTAAAATATGTTATGTTAAAATACTTTTTTTTTCTTATTTTCGTGATTGGTAAATCTTAGGTCGTGTATTTTTTAGCGTTTATTAATTTTCCAAATGGAAATTGCATTTTTGATTGTAATTTCTGAGAAAGTACTGTTACAGTTTTTGTGAAAAAAGTGCTCATATTTAGTTTATTGACATGAAATTTTTTTTATTATTGTAACTCAAAAAAAGTTTTAAATTATCCATAAAGGAAAAAGCATTCCCTACCGAAAGAGAGGTACTGGAATGGTACTGAATTGGACTTGGCTTGAGTTCCACTTCAGTACCACTACCTGATAACCCATAAGAAGACCTTTTTAAAGTACTTTAACAATGGTTTTAAAGGTATATGTTAGAACAGCAAAACGTCTCTCACGATATCCGTGTAAAACAGCAAAAAAAAAAACATAATAGTTTGTAGAAAATTTCAGTTAAGTTTGGAAATTATATTGCAATCCCTCCTTGAACAATAGACTCCCAGGTCCTTTGTTGAAGGATTACAATTTTAACCCGAGTTTTATTGCTTAAAAAATTTGTAATTTTAACAACTCAACTTTAAAAAATATATATTGAGATTCGTTAATATTTCTAGATTATGAATATCTAAAATTTATCATAAAATAATTACATTTAAAAAAGTTATAATTTATCTCGTATACCTTAAGTTTGATAAAAAAATGGACATCATTTTTGAATTCAGCTGACAAAGGAAATATCATATGCATAATAATGTATGAAAATAATATAAATCCATGAAAAACAAATATAATATTGAAATAAATATAAAATTTTTGTTTAAACATATGTGACGCTCCACGAGAAAAGGGACCTATCGCGACAAAACAGAATTATACAGGAAAGGCGTTTAAAGTTGAACGTTCTGATTGGCTGAGACGCGCCAGCGAAAATCAGCCCCACTACCTTACTACTACATCGTTCCTACGTCTCACGGATACAACAAGTATACTAGTGTAGTGGTGGTGGGGATGGTTTCCGTAGTCCGTGCTGGAACGCGATTGACAGGGTCATGTTTAAAGCTTTATTACAAAAAATGTAATTAGAAAAACATTATTTTTGACATTTCTATATGAAAGAGCAACTCAAATACTATCGATTCGCATATAAAACTGGAAATTAATTTTTTGTCGCGATAGGTCCCTTTTCTCGTGGAGCGTCACATATTGAAAAAGCTAGTCGCTTTTCACTTTTATGAGGGTATTAACGGTAACTCGATCCTTGTCGCAGGTAAATTTCCCAGTTTTCATTTCAGTACCAAAATTCACCAAATTAGTACTGAGTTGGTACTGAGATCTCAGTTCCAATTTTCCAGTAACAATCCAGTACCACCCTTCCGGTAGGGTTTTACCTTCTTGTTTTCAAGTAAAGGCTGTTGAAAATTTTCCAAAACTTTAGTTTTAATGTAGATGGCGCTGCCTCACTTGGACCTGACCTTAGTAAAATGCGACATTTTTTTTACATTTGAAAAAAAATGTAGGTATATCAAAATTGTTTTTCAATTAAAAATTTTATGAAATATAAAAATTGTTTATAATTTAAAAAATATCACAATAAAATTGAATTATTTTTTAAAAATTTCAATTCAAAATAAACTAAAATTCAATTATTACCCGAAATTTTAATTCAAAATCAATTAAAAATCCAATAATTATCCAAAACTTTCAATTTAAAATTAAATTATTTACCAAGTTTTCAATTTAAAATGAAATAAAATTCAATTATTTTCTAAAATTTCTATTCAAAATTAATTATCCAAATTTTCAATCAAAAATGAATTTAAATTCAAGTATTATCCAAAATTTCAATTAAAATTCAGTTATTTCCCAAAACTTTCAATTCAAAATGAACTGAAATTCAATTATTTTCTAAATTTAAAATCAAATAAAATTTCATTTTTTTCAAAAATTTGAATTCAAAATTAATTGAATTTTCAATAATTTGAATTTAAAAGCATCTAAAATTTAATTATATCTAAAATTTTCCATCGAAATTTTTTATTTTTGAAATTTAATAATTTCAATTATAACTCTAAGGAAATTCAATTATTTTTAACTATTTTAATAATATTCTTTGACAATTCAACTATCTGAAACCATTTTTCAATTAGAAATTATTTTTAAATTATTGTATGTATTTTGTCCGCATTTTCTAATAAATTTTTAGTGAAATCATCTAAAACTTTAATTACAAAGCACTTAAAGTTTCAATTAATTTCAAAAATCTCAATTTAAAATTTTTGAAAATTCAATTAAATTTAAAATTAGTTTTCCAAAAATTGTTTGATAAATTATTTTTATTTCTGTAAAATTTAATAATTGTTTGAAAATTAACAATATCTTTTGAAATTTAATAATTTCTAAAAATTTCAACTTTAACCCTTCGAAAAGGATTATTAAACAAAAAAAAAATTATTTAAAAATCTGTAAAATAATTTTGTTAAAATAAAAAACAAATCCACTTTTTTTTGGAATATAAATCGACTAAAACGACTTTTTGTGTCTTTAAGTTGATTCGAGGCCTGTGTTTTTATAATTAATATTTAATAGGTATTCGTTGGCCCCTGGTACTTTAAAAATTAATTTTTAAAAATAAATTTTTTTCAAATTACTATCTTGTACGAAATTTCCTGGCGCATCTTTTTTCTCATCATAAATTTTTTGTACAATTTTTGAATCAATATACAAGTTTAAAAAAAATTTCGTTGGTAAACGTTGTGTACTTCAGCTTCGTGAATTGAATTTTCGAATTTGGAATTTTAAAGAAACTTATTCCGAAATTTGGAAACACAATTATACAACTTTGGCAAAAATGAGAAAAAGAATTGTCAAAATTTGACACGTCATAAGATTACTATTCAAAAAAACACGTGAAATCAGAGAAGGCCAACTTCAAGTTAGGACAGAAGGACAGACCAAGCATTTTATTATTATATAATTGAAAATTGAAACAATGAAAAATAAAGTGTATAATAATGAAAGTCAATAAAACATTATGGTATTTAATTTTTTTTTCTTGCATTTTTAAAATTTTTTTTAAATGAATGAATATATTAAATGTATGTAATTTATCATTATTACTACTTTTGTTATATAACAATTAAAAAATTTTTAGTGTGTTCAGCTGCTTTAAAAAAATGTATGGTCTTTATAACGGTTTTTTAAAGGTTCTAAATAAACTTTTAAACGAATTAGTATTACGATTTAAGATAAAATTAAAAAGATAACACAGAAAAAATGTAATATTTGTTTATATATTTATATATATTTCATTGTAAATTACACCAATTGTGACTCCTTGTATTAAAAAGAGTAATGACAATTTCTAAACTTTCTTGTAACTTTTCTCTTGTAAATATTAGTTTTAACAAATTTTTCTAGAAGGGATTACTTAACCCTTTCGTTCCCAAGCTAATCTGAGAACTACAAAAAAAGAAAAGTGCAATTGTTCTTACAGTTTTTCGGGTCGCTGATGACGAATTTGAGGTCAGATTTTTCAAATTTTTTAAATTCAAAATGGCGGATACAACATGGCGGACAATTTTTTTTTAAAGTGATTAAATCCGCTCGAAAATGGCTACTCGGAGGTTTTTGGGGTCGCTGATTACGAATCCGGTATTAGTTTTTGAAAATTAAAAATTGTGGATCCAATATGGCGGACAACTTTTGGAAAATCTAATTGCAATTCGCCTGAAAGTCGTTACTGGGGGGTTATTGGGGTCGCTGATTACGAATCTGAAGTCAGATTTTTAAAATTTCTAAAAATTCAAAATGGTGGATCCAATATGGCGGAGGAATTTTTAACAATCGTTTTGATTCGTCTGAAATTTTTTACTCTGGGTTTTTTTTGGGTCGCTGATTACGAATCCGATGTTAGCTTTCAAAAATTCAAAATGGCGGTTAAGTTTTTTTAAAAACCATTAATTTTCGCTTGAAAAGATATTTGTGATTTATTATTAATATTAACTTTTTTGATGAATAATTTATGGAAAATTATTAAAAATGAAAAATTAAATTAATAACTATTAATTTTATTTAATTATTAAATATTAATGTAATTTTTATATAATTTTCAAAACTATATGAAAAAGATGTTATTTTATTTACAACTATGTATTTCATTGATTGCATAAATTAAAATATAAATTTTACCTCAAATAATATTATTGTTTAATGTTTTTTTCATAATGATTGATAAGAAATAAAATTTACTTAAATTTTTTTTTTTTAATTTATATTTTTAATATATTTTATTGGAAAACGTTATATTATTGCTACTTGGGTCCAATTTTTTTTTTTATTTCTTATTGACATTTTGTAAAAATTGTTCGAAAAATTTAAGTTTCAAAAAAGAGAGTAAACTTCTATTATTTAAAAAAAAGTGAAATAAATTATGAGATATCAATCAAATAAGAATTTATTTAAAATACAAGTTAATAATGCAGGGGATAAGGAACCCAGGATAGTCGCAAGGGCAACCACATATAGAAAATGCAAGATGAACAAGAAGAGACTTACAAGGATAACAAAATCCAACCTGTAAAACTGGTTTCAACCATACCAATATAATATGAATCGCGAATAGAACACTTTTCGCAATCGCGACACATCAAGGATTAGAAATTGACGTCATTTTAATATATATTTTTAACTGATATAAAAAATAAATTTTTATTTTATATTTTAAAATTCATATTTTTATTTATTTTTTATTATTATTTTAAGTATTTTTAATGTTCTGTAAACTATCGCTTTAACATGAAATTCACCCCAAAAATTAGTATATTATAAATGAAATTTTTCTTTAGCCGTCATAAACATTATAAAATTTATTAAAAATTTTTATTTTAATTCCACAAAACTTATTTATAAGATAAAGAATACAAATATAAGAATTAAAAAAAAAAAAAAAATTCAATACTGCAAGGATTCGAACGTACGGCGCTTGACTCAAATTTTTAGACACTCTAACGACTGCGACTAAAGTAGACTCATTGATTCAAAAAACAATCTAAAATTTTAATAACAACTTTTTATTCTAAAATATAAAAATTTTTTTTTCAACATTGGAAGTTTATATTTTGTCATCAACAATAAATCAATATGTTCAATAAACTTATATTTTAACGCTTATCAGTTTAGGCAGAAAAAGTAAATAATTTTTTTCTTTTTTTTTATTAAATCTCTGTGTGCTAAAATTTTTTAATTTTACTTTAGCATTAGGAAAATACAATAATTTTCAAATTCACATTAGATTATAATTTGATAAAAAAATAAAATGGCGTTTTGGAATGTTAACGTATAACCTTTTACTGCCCCTGAGTTTACAAGTTCCCTCTTGTCGGAAACTTGATCAGACTGTGATTCACTTTCATACCGATAGCATCGAGTATAACTCCCGAAGTAATTTTCCCATTGCAACTGTCGGGACAGAAAGTTTCAATTTTTGCGTACACTTTTAAATTTCATCGAAATAGTTGTTCTTCTCCCTCAAATAATAAAAAAAGAGGATATATTATTTAATTGAAGGGTGAGTTTTTAAATTAAATAAATAAAGATAAAATTTTATTCTCAACTTAAAAAAAAACAAAATTTCTTTATTTATTCAAAAAAAAAATTATTAAAAAATTTTTGCATTTAAATTAAAAATGTCCAAATAAAATTAAATATTTTTTATTTTAATTGATAATTCAGTTTTTCTCTCAAGACAATAAACTTGAAAGCAATTAATTGAAGAAAAAATGTATAATTAGAAAAATTAATTTATTTCCATTAATAATCTACATTAGATTGATAAAAATAAAATTTTAAAAATGGAAAAAAATTCTAATAAATAATTTTTAAATGATATATTATTAAACCAATATTTCGATGCAATGATCGATTTATATTAATTATTAAAAGCAACATACTATTTTGTTAGAAAAAAATTTAATTATTGTAAAACTTAAATATCTAGATTTTATATATTTATTATTATTATTTTATTATTTATTATTTAAATTATAATCTTTTACATGCCAAAGATATGAATTCTCAAAAAGAGAATCTAAGTACAAAAAAAAATTGAGGATAAAATATTTTAAAAATTTTTAAATAAATTAATGGAAAAAATAATTTAATAGAATTAATTTTGAAAAAAAAGTGTATAAATTTCCAATGTTTAATGTACACATAACCTTAAAATAATAGAAAATTATTTTTAAAAACAAAATTTCAAATTGTATTATAATTTTCGATTTGAAGAATTTAAAATAATAATTTCTTATTTATTTAATCAGTGAATGTGAAAATGATTAATTTTATTATTTATTGACAATTTATATAAATTTATTGAATAAATAAATATATTTTATTATATTTATATCTACTTAAAATTTATTTATTAATTAAATTAGTAAATGATAATAAATTTTTTTTAAATTTATTTTTTAATTTTTTAACAAAGAATATAGCCGTAATAAAAACAATTATTCGCAATTAAAGAAGCAATTGATTTTCTTTTTTAATTGACAAAAATTAATTTGTTCAATTACGACGTTTTCTTTATCGACATCATTTAATAAGTTCATGAGAGTAAGAAACAATATGAATTCTATTAAAAGTGACACTTTTTTGTTTGTTTTTATTATGATCTCATTTTACTAGTTCATACCTATCATAATAAAAAGTAAGATTTAGAAAAAAATTTTTTTTAACATAAGTAACGTTAATATAATTTTTAGTGGTCAACTAATATTAACCCATTTCGACCTGTTTTTTTTTATAATTTTTTTTTATTGATAGGTAAATTGACAATGTCATGACCATCTTATAATTTATGTAGTTTTTCTTTTTAAGTCGCATCTTGCTTACGGCTATATATATATATATATATATATATATACACTTTAAAAGAAACAATTATTATGTCATTTAATGACGTTTTTCTTTCGTTTCCCATTAAGTTTCCTCTCGTATATATATATATATATATAATGTTAGATAACAAATGTCAAAGTATTGTGAAGATGCAAAACGAGAGTTCTTCCGTAATCATTAAATCATCTAATAGGAAAATAAAAATTTACAAAGATCATTGGCACTTAGATTGTTTATCAATAAAATAAAATCTAACACTCATTGAATATATAAACGTAAGCAAAAAGAGAATTAAAAATTTTAACAAAAACATTTTAAAATTATCGCAATAAATTAGTGTTTTTGTAATTATTTTTTTTTTTTTTTTTTTTTTTTAAACTAAAACAATAAACCGATAAAATGTATGTCACTGACGATATCGGGGAGGGAAATTATCGCGTCAATATTTATAATGACTTGAGAATATAGTTCGAGATTCAAGGAAGCGGAAGAAAACGTTGAAACATTTGTAATAAGGGGGAGATAAGAATATCGCGTAATTTTTATTTTCTATATATCAAAAATATAATATGTTTAGACAATTTAAATTATTCTGAAAAATCTAACATTTTCTTTTTTTAAAAAAAAAAAATTCATTCACTACTATACTTCACGGTATTCCTTCTAGAAAAAAATCGATTGAAAACTCGGGGGGTTTTACGAATATGGCATTAGATTTTTAAAATTCAAAATGGCGGATCCAATATGGCGGACGAATTTTAGAAAATTCTGTTAAATTTTCATGAAACTCGTTACTCGGGGGTTTTTGGGGTCGCTGATAACGAATATGGCATTAGATTTTCAAAATTCAAAATGGCGGATGCAGTATAGCGTATAAATTAAAAATATATTTAAAGTGTTTTTTGTTTTACCTTTAGTAGACACTAATTTTGAATACCTCAAACCTTAGCAGAAACAGTTCCTGGTAAACTAATCGATATTTAAACAATTTTCCGCCATATTGGATCCGTCATTTTGTATTTTAAAAATCTGACATCATATTTGTTATCAGCGACCCCAAAAACCTTGAACAGAGTTATGACTTTTTTTTTATAAATAATATAGTTTAATTAACAATAACAATTTTGTTAAAAGTATCAAAAATTGAAAATTGCAATTATCTCAAAAACCTAACGTGTGGTAAAAAAAAGGACTGTGATGGATTTGAAACTTTGAAAGCTTGTAGCTCATTCAATTTATATGATATCTTTAAGCTAATTTTTTTAATAATATTTGATTCCTTCTTAAACATATTGTATAAATAAAAAGTCATTATTTTATTAACTTTTTGCTGTTAATTAAAACAAAGATAAAAAGCTATCTCTATCAAAAATAAACGCACAGGTTTGAGACAAAATTTAAATTATGTAAAATATGATAAAATCAGGTTAGATAAATTTCGGCCAAATGATATATATATATATATATATATGACATTTGAAATTCAGAGTCGGTATCAAAACTACACAAGAATTTTCATAAAAAAGTTATATTGTACAAAACATAAAAATTGTTATTTTTTACATTATATTTTTTTAATGTTGTTTTTATTTTTTGTAAATTTTAATTTTTTTGTAAATGAAAAAATTTTTTTTATTTTGTACATTGAATTTTTTTTTGTTTTTTCTTAACGTTATTTTTTACATAATTTTTTTAGTTATTTTTTACATAATTTTTTTGTTATTTTTTACATATAGAAAAAAAATTTTTCGTTATTTTATTGGGGCAGTTTAAAGTTTGGGTCAGTTGGGGTAAATGGGGACAAAATCCCTATTTTTCACAAATTACGTAAGTTTCTTCCTTTAAAAGGTAATATTTGCTGGTTTATATTTTTTTAAGTTGTTATTTACATTCCCAGGATTAATTTTATGCAGCAGAAATAAATTTATATAAGCTTTAAACGCATGAAACTGACTGTCCTTATTTACAGTAAGATTTAAAAAAAAAATTTTTAATTTGGGGTAAATGGGGACAGCATAGTTTCTACGAAAGGTTTAAGAAAAACGTTTCCTTAAGTATATTACTGTATTAAGGGATAATAATACTTGAAAGAAATTTTTAATAGGGCGGACGAACTTAAATTTTTTTTATAAATTGATTTTTGCTTAATTGATATCTTTTATTATTTTTTTTATTTAAGTATTTTGTCTCGCATTTCAAAGAAAACAAACTTAAAAATCATACAAAAATGTTTTCTTATTCCTTATGATTTCCTTAACAAAAATCCACTTGAATTTTTGATTTTTGTCGATTTGGTTAATAATAACAAGTTGTCCCCATTTACTTCGAGTTTTCAAATTTTTGAATTTATTATTAACCAAATTGACAAAAATTTTCAAGTTTTTCCATCCCTTAATACAGTAATATACTTAAGGAAACGTTTTTCTTAAACCTTTCGTAGAAACTATGCTGTCCCCATTTACCCCAAATTAAAATTTTTTTTTAAATCTTACTGTAAATAAGGACAGTCAGTTTCATGCGTTTAAAGCTTATCTAAATTTATTTCTGCTGCATAAAATTAATCCTGGGAATGTAAATAACAACTTAAAAAAATATAAAACAGCAAATATTACCTTTTAAAGGAAGAAACTTACGTAATTTGTGAAAAATAGCGATTTTGTCCCCATTTACCCCAACTGACCCAAACTTTAAACTGCATACGAATTAATGTTAAAATTCATTTGTACTTGTAAATGCAGCTTATATACAGTTTCAATGTATGCATTCAGTTTGTAGGCACCTCAAACCGCCCCAAAAAAATAACGAAAATTTTTTTTTCTATATGTAAAAAATAACAAAAAACATTATGTAAAATATAACTAAAAAAATTATGTAAAAAATAACTAAAAAAATTATGTAAAAAATAAGGTTAAGAAAAAACAAAAAAAAATTCAATGTACAAAATAACAAATTAAAAAAAAACATTTACAAAAAAGTTAAAATTTACAAAAAATAACAACAATATTAAAAAAGTATAATGTAAAAAATAAAAATTTTTATGTTTTGTACAATATAACTTTTTTATGAAAATTCTTGTGTAGTTTTGATACCGACTCGACATTCAGGGGAATATACATGTGTATCCTTTTCATATCAAATTTTGAGCATTTATAATTCTGTTGCCGATTCCCAAAAATAAAAATTACAATAAGTTCTTATACAGGAAAAGGATTAAATTATTTAAAAAAATTTCTTTCCATGACATTTTTCATTGTCAGTTGTTTCTCTTGAATGCGCAATTGTGCAAGGTCACACTAAAAAAATATTATTGTCTAGACGAGATGTACACAAAACATATATACATTTATTCGAGTTCGACGATCTAGCAAAGTTTAATAAATATTTCTTTCTCTCTCTCTCTTGTATATTTGAAATTAATTTTCTTTCGAGTTTTCTTTTGTTTATCTAGAAAAATTTACCCATTAGTAGGGGAATAGTGTCAGGGTTGGACACAGTTTTGGTTTTTTGTTTATAAATATTTTGTTTAGATAAATTCAGTCAATTGTGGTATATGGGTGGAAAGATCTACAAAAGAGGAACACTTTTGCTGTGAACCGTAAATTGATTGGTCCAAAATTAAAAAAGTTATAAACATTAAAAAAAAAAAAATCTAGTCAGGGTTGGACTTTTCAGTCAGGGTTGGACACTTTTTGAAAATCGAAACGCATTATTGGTAAAAACGTAAAATAACATTTGTAATGTTTTTTATTCTTATTTTTTCATGTTTATCTTTACTTATTGTTTACAAATTGTAAAGCTTCATGGGTTTAAAAAAGGAATGAACTCAAATTACAAAAAATAACGCTTTATTGTTCCAAATAACTCAATGAAATGATGAACAAAATTTATACAATTTAAGTATTATTTTTCTAATATCTTTGGCACAATTTTACACTGAAATATCAATAAAATAAAATTTATTTATAAATTGTGTCAAATTCATAATTAATATGGGTGTCCAACCCTAACTGTATAAACTGTCCAACCCTAACTAGAAGCATCATTTTCGAATTGTGCTAACCATAACCAGACATGTGTCGCGATTCGATTTTTCAACTTTTTTTCTTCTTAAATTATGTACCCCACAATACATTCAATAAGCTTACTTTGCCGAATTCTTGCTTTTTTTACACATCTTTTAGGTTTATTCACAAGTCAAACAAAACTTTTTTTGTCTCTTCGATTGCACCGAAGTCACAGGAGACGCTACTTTTGATTCTCCAAAAATGTAATGCCACAAAAAGTTAGGTTACACTACTAGAAGATTCGTCACGTACGCACACAGGTGGCGCTAGTGCTCCTATTTAAAAAAAGCCAAGTGTCCAACCCTGACACTATTCCCCTAATATTATTCTTACATTTTTTTACTGTAAAATTTGCTTGTATAAATTTTAATAAACATATAATGAATAATAATAATAATAAATAATTTTTACAAAATCTATTCACTGATAATTATTGTCAATTTTTACAATGAAAATTTTACCGGTTTAGACTATATTAAAAAAAAAGCAATTTCATTGAACAGATTTGATATAAAAGGTAAAACAATTTCATTTCCGTAGCCTTTTTGACATGTTTTCATCACAATTTTTATATCACTATATTTGTATTTCAAAGTTTTTTTTTAAACTTTTGAAAATCAGATAAAAATAGTTTCAGAAATAAAATTAGTTTTTCTATTTGATACATATGCTTAAAATTTTTACCCTGCAGTATGATTAATAATAAAAATCTTCAAACTTTGTCTTCACTTTTAGGTTCGAATTTCTTAGTAACGAATAATCATATTTTAAGATATAAGAATAAAACACTTTAATCACAGTTTTAATATATGTTAAACGAAAGCTAACGTTCCAAAGTTTGTTTTTCTGTTATATTTTTTGTAAATAAAAGGTTAAATGTTGCTTTTATAAATAATCAAAGTTAGAAGGTTCGCGCAAGTAAAAATTATCCTATATATGAACAAAGCAAGTATGACAACCTTTGAATTGTTAAAACATAACCTCAAAAATATAAAAATAAATAAATAGGTACGAAAAAAACAACATAAACAGAAATTAAAATAAATAATTAGGTACATATAAAAATAAATATAAGAAAAAATTCTATTTCTTACATTTTAAAATAACTTCAGTTTTTTCATTTTCAACAAAATTTTTAGTTTTTCTAAACTTTGGGTGTCCGCAGCAACTTTTCAAAAAAAAATTAAGAAAAAATGTTTCAGTATAAATTTTGTTCAAAGTTCACCTGAACTACTTGTGACAACAAAAAACCATAATTTTTCAATTAAATATTTTCATAAATTTCAATCAAATTCTTCAAAAAAGTTCAAATTTTTCAATTAAATTTTACAAAATTTCAATTATTTAAAATTAATAAGTCAAAAACTTTCAATTCTAACTCTTCAAAAAATTGAATTACTTCTATTAAATTCTGTAATTATTTTATTTTTAAAAAATTTTAACTAAAACTTTTTGCAAATTTTATTATAAATTAAAAAGAAATTTATTGTTTATTAAAAACTTTGATTGCAACTCTTCGAAATATCAATTTTTTTTTTTAAATTTCAAATTAAAATTCTTTACAAACTTATTTAGTGCTACAAACGGATGATATACACGTTACATTTGTATAAAGTTTTTCATTCATTAAAATATTTTCAATTTCAAATCACATGTAATTTAATTATTTCTACGAATCTTCTATAATTATTGTAGATCTTTCAATATTCAATTATTAAAAAAAAATTCAATATTGACTGAAATTAAAAAAAATTTCACCTTCATTCAAAGATAAATTAAAAAATAACTTTTAATTAATTTTTGCTAAAATATTTGATTTTTCTTCTGTGGTGACAAATATATTGATAAAAATTTTAATTTTTTAGTTTAGACTTTGAAACACTAAATCATCTAATAGTGTTTTATAAAATATAAAGCTATTGAAAAGTTCAAGTATCTATTGTACTTTGAAAAAAGTAATAAGAGAAATAATTTTAGATGGGACCAGTTTAAAGATTAATAAATAGTCAATAATAAAAAATAATGTTAGAAATAAAATTTTTAAAATTAATATATTAAATTGAAATTTCGAAAAAAAGAAACAACTTTTAATACACAAATTATTAGAAAATTTTTTTAAAAATATCTTAGTGTTTATAATTAAGTAATTGATATAAAATTAAAAAAGAAAACCATTTAAAAGTCAATAAGCAAGTTTACTACTCTTCTGTAGAGGTAAATTAAGAAACTTGTTGTAGTTAAGTAATAGTAACGGCTTAAAGTTATGCCACACAAATATATACGTCTATATCATTAGAAGTGGTTGTTGTCTAGGCGCGACTACTAGAGAGAAAGAGGTATAAAAAATATATTTCATATTGCTGTACTTAAACAAATTGACAAATGCATAAATTACTTTCACCAAATTTTCAAATAAATTCTTATCTATATATATTCATTTAATTCACTAACGCCCGAAATGTTAATATTTCTTGTTCACTTTTAAGCTATTTATACTTTTATAAACAAAAATAAATAATATTTTTTACCAAAGGCACATTTTTTAAAAATATATTGAGTTTGCTCTTTTCGAATGCAAAACAGTGTATAACCAATGATTTTTTTAATGATGCTGAATGTTAAAAAAAATCATTTAATTAAATCAAAGTTATAAAGGGAAGACTCGAATAAATTGTTTGTTGGACGCCAGTCCTTTCTTGGGACAAAAATAAAAATAAATAAATATAATTAAAGGGACAAAAGAATTAAATTGATTAAATAGATTAAATAAATTTTTCTTTAATCGTTGAATTAGTTCTGGAAAAATACACAAGGCCACCAGGCAAACTATTTTAGAGACTGTCAAATTCGAAAATTAAATCAAAATTATTCTTGATTGTCAAATTAGTCACACGGCCACCAGGCTTTTACTCAAAGACTATCAAATTCAATAATCAAGGGAAACTCAAAGCAAAGAATTGATTCAAAATTCAAATTAAATTAAAATAGTCTTCCTTTTACTCGGTCTGCCGCAGTCCCAATTCTTGGTTAACAGTATAGAGAGGGCGGTTCGGAAAAGCCATATTCGAAAAGATTTTATTATTCAAATTAAATAAAACATGAGATTTTCTAAACAAAAGATTGATAAGTTTCTTTATTTTAAATTTTTGAACATGATACAAATTTAGTTCGGATTCGATATAATTCAAAGAAAATGTTTACTTATTCTTTTTAAAGAATAAGGATTTTTTAATTCGAGGAATGGAAAAAGGGATTAAATTGAAATGGATACAATAATTATTAAATGAATGACAATTTCAATAAATTTTTAAATTTAGAGAATTAAATTCATTCTTAAATAGATTCAAAAATCAATAAAATAATCAATTAAATTCAAAAGAAATCATTTTAAATTAAATTGAAATTCTAAATTAAATTAAATTCAGATTTAAAGAAAATTCATTATTGAAAAATTCAAACAAATAAATAATTTTGAGATATCATTCATAAATGAGAAACAAAATTTTACCAGAGAATTCCAAAAATCTATGTGTTCAAAATGGCTGACGGCAACGAATATCATCAATGATAAATTCAAACAATTCCTCTTTTTCGATTTATAAATATATTTTCTTATTTTTAATGTTTCCTTTATAATAAATGATTAAAACGTATTTTATATTAATTGAGATGCCCAAAATTAGATTGACGAAATAATACAATAAAAGCGTCTAGCTTATATGAAATCACATTAAAGAATGATAAAAAAGACGTTGTTTGTTTTCTCCTAGGAGATTTTCGTTACCAACCAAAAAAAAAATGAATATCTAAAAAAAATAAAAAGATCGGGACAAAAAAGAAAGTTCGACGGTCGGTAAAAAGGTTTTCATCTATATCTTGACGCTGATTGGTTCAAACTGATTAAGTGCGAAATTCAAATTCGATAATAAATGTTGTTGACAAAAATTATTTTCTTGAATAATAATAATATTTCTTCTTGATTAACGATTTTAATACGTTAATCCGACGCAAGATGGTAAATCCTTAATTCTTCTCCAATATAAATATTAATGAATTCGGAATTAATATTGAAATTTACAAAGATAACGCCACACTCAAGTAAAAATCTTCGAACTTCAAATTGACATAAATCCAAAACATCAAATATATCATATGGGCTTTGGCTAACCGCAACAATAGAAGTTTTAAATAGTAATTTAAAAATATAAAGAAGCCTTCCAATAATCATAATAATTTTGAGTGTTTCGCCAGGAAACGAAGTCAATGATATTCTCAGGGTGATATTTGCATAAAACATGAAAATACTTGGCATCTCTTAATTATCCAATTAATGGGTACATCGGAAGTGAATATTCAAGAATACAAATTTTAATAATAAAAATATATCCAAATAATTGATAATAAACTTCAAAATATCAAATTATTAATGACATCAAAATTGAGGTTAGGTTGACCAATATAAAATATTCAATATAATCAATTTTTCTCAAAGTTTTCTTAAATCTTGATATTTTTTTTTCTTAATTTCTTGTTTCAGTTGAACATTGGCTCGAAAGTACATAAATAAAAAGGGATTACAGACATTAATTCTTAATATTAAATTATTATTAAATAAGATTTTTCCATTTCTCGAATCTATAATGTGATTTCGTCTATTAGTAAATTTTTATATTGAAATATCTTTTTCGAGAATAATAAAGCAAAGTGATTTAATATATTGAAAAATAAATAAACCTTTGTGATTTGTAAAATTGTAAATTTTACAATGTCACAACAGAAATTAGATTTTCATAATTCAAAATGGCGGATCCAATATGACAGCAAAAAAAACTTTTTAATTCATTGAAGTCGCCTAAATCTTTTTATTCGTGGGTTATTTATTTAAAAAAAAAAATATACACAGACAACAAATAAGTCCTTTCGTATTGAAGTACGTGAAAAACAAATAATAGCAATAACAATGCATAGGTATATGTAATAAGTAAATTGCAAAAAAGGAATACAAAAACTTTAGTCACATGATTATTATTGATGATTCTACTTTACGTAACTTAATGATAAAATTATTTAATGAACAGTTGAAAAAAATAGTTACCTATAATAATAAAATAACAAATTTTAATGTTCTTTTATTTATCAATATTTCATTTTGTTTAGTAAATTTTTTATTATAAACAAAATTTTTTTTACTTTTAAATTATTAACAAATTTTTTTTATGTTTTTTTCCAAATTTGTAAATTAAGTATTATAATTAACTATTATGAATTTTCTAATTTTTTAAATAATTCATTTATAAAATTTTAATTAAAAAAAAACCACTATTCTTGTTCCATATAGAAAATTGAAATATTCATTTTTTTAAAATGAAATTAATTATATTGAGAATTTTTTTTTTATTTACAAATCAAAAATATCTTGTTGACTGCGTGAATAGACTTAAATATCTTTTCAGATCGTTTGTGTAAAAAAAAGGAAAGGAACTGTTTTTTAATTACCAAACCAATGTCATTGACAAAGAATAAAAAGAAATGAAGATCAAGGTACAAACTTCGCGGCACATCAGATGTCACAAGAAAGGCAGTAGATAAACACTATTTTATACGTACAGAAGAATACCATCTAATAAGATAAAATTCTTTGTGATTAAATTTTCTAAAAAGTACCATTAGCAATTTTTTTTTAAATATCGATAACTAATTAAAAAAAATATTATTAATAAAATTAAAATTGTATTAAATAAATAAATTAATTAAATCTTATTTTTATTAATAAAAATATATTAAACTTATTTTTTTTTATTCAGTTCAGAAAAAAATTTTAAACAAAACTTTTTTTTTTGCTCCATTATCTCTCATAAATATATATAGTTATTGTATATCCAACATTTTTTTGCATTGAAAATTAATGATTTGTATTACAATGAAATATAGTTTTGAAAAATTCAATTGAAATTCAAATTTTATTTTATTGTATTAAAATTTATTTGAGGACAAGACCAACATTAAAAAATTTGTAATTCTAACAGTTTACATAAAATTACCATTTAAAATTTACATTTCATTATATTAATGTAACAAATGATAATAAAAAAAAAAGTTTTTGAATAATTTTTAATAGAAATGTAAATTTTTTTATATTATTTAAAAATATTTTTATTATTTTCCTATTAAAAAAGGTGAATATTTTTTAATTTAAAAAGATGAACCTTGTAAAAAAATTTAATAACAAATTATTAGTAAAAAAAAGTTTAAAAAAAAAACAATATTTAATCGGTTTGCAATTGTAATTAATACTTAGAAAACTTATTATTTACAATGTTGTTTGGAAAACTTTAAATTACATTTACAAATAATTAGTAACACGATATGCAAGTTCACGCTTAATTGTTCTATTGATTTATTATTGTCATGTTTCCTGATAAATTTTTAAATATACCCTTATTCGCCTCGTAATTAATAGTTCAGGAATCTGTCAATTAATTCATTAATAACATTATGTTCCAAAATGCAAATTTTTCAAAGCAAAATAATAAATACAACGAAATTTAAAAGTGCATTAATAAATGTAAAAAAAATGTGACGTTACGTAACATTTGTGAAAATTTAAAATTCCGTCACGAAATTTTTTTTTTAAAAAAAAGCGAAACACATATTTATTAAATTATGAAATAACAACGTCACTATAAGATTGTTCTTTTAACTAATATTACAAAGTATTTTTCAAAATTTTTAAATAATTTTAAATAAATTATAATAAAATATAAATAGGTAAAATAAAAAATGATAAAAGAAATAACATTGTCACTATATGAAGCATCTCCTTAAATTTATAATATTACAAAAAAATATTGTTTTTAATTTTGAAAAAATGTAAGTAACTTATAATTATATAAATGGATAAAATATTAAGAAATTTTTAATTTTTATTAATTATATTAAGTTAATTAGAAACATTAAATAACCGTGAATAGCATATAAAAAGTATTATTAATGATAACACAAATTAATAATGTGAATATAATGAAGACAAAGTAAACTGTAATTAAATGATTATTCATAAGTAATTGGATTTCCAATCAAATGAATAATTCAAATAATTTTTTTTTCATTTAGTAAAATGAATGAAAAAAAAAATGTTTCCCATTCAAAGCTATAATCATATTATTATTAAAAATGAAATTAAAAATTTTTGTATAACAAATTTTTAGAAAAAAAAGTAGAAATAAAAGAATAAAATTAAAATTTTTTATATAAAAATTGTTAAAAAATAATTATAAACAGAAAAGAGAGTAATTCAAAATTTTAATTAAAGGACACTTATTTTAATAAGAGTTGTAAAAGAATTAAAAAAATTCATTAATGTTGTAGCACTATTTTAAACTAAATAATTTATTTAAAATCATAACTGACATTTAGTGACGATAATCTCTTATGCAATGAAAAACAAGTTTCAAATCCTTGTTAGTTTAATAGAAATTTATTATGGTCTTATAACGGATCTTCTTGAGTTGCAATCTTACTATTACGCAATTCCCTTGAAATTGAAGTTGAAAAAACTTTAAAATTTTTCAATTCAATAAATTTTTACTATTTTAAAGTATTTTTGATGATTTACAAAAAAAAAAATTCAACGGCAATTAATATTAGTTAAAATTGTAGAAAATTTTGAACCGCAATCATATTTAACATTTTTAAAAACTTGACTCGTAATTATTAATTTCAAAAATTATCAAGTAACAAATTTCAAGTGAATATATTTATTAAAGAATGCGTCAAAATCGTCCGTTATATTGGAGCAACAATTATGAATTTTTCAAAACTAAAATAATCAGATTCGTAATTTCGGATTGTTTGGTGAAAAAACAGAATTGTTTAATGAATAAAGAAAATTGCTATGGAACAGTTGAAATAACAAAACTATATTGTTAAATCGGCAGTACAATTTGTTGTATTAACAAAGCTTTGATCCGTCTAATACAATTTGTTCAGTTTCTTCGCCTTCTAAAATAATCGATAGCAAATTTCCGTATGTCATATCATCAGTTTCATTTGCATTAAAATCTGTGGAACATTCAGCTTCTGAATCAAATTCTTTGACCTGAATCCAAAAAAATTATTTTGAGTTGAAATTTGTTGTTAAATAATATTAAATATATGTTTTGTATTTTTTAAGGTGAGGTTATGTTCAATAGTAACCGAGTATGACTTACCGATAAACGATGAAATTGTCTCTTCATCCATTCACTATTCTTGCAATAGATTTTTCACTTTAACCAAATTCATTATTTAACAGCATTTTGTCATTTAAAAAAAAACTAATAATAAAAGCAAAAGTGGTACATGTGCCAGAAGCAAACGATGTGACGATCTGCACGCCAGTTTGCTAGAATTCAAGATGACCACGTGACATGGAACAATAAACAAATCCGGATTGTTCCATCAGCAATCGACACAGAGTTTGCCACTGCAACTGCACGGTATTGCAAACTGAACAAAACTGACAACAAAAAATTCGTATTGTTGTTAAAACAACATACATTTGTATTGACAACAATCCGAATTGTAATATTAACATTTCGAATTGTAATATCAACAAATCCACTTGACAACAATCCAAAAATTATTTGTACCACAATCCCATTTTTCTCCGTGTAGCAAATAAACATTAATTTTTATTAACTGTTCTGTTTTCAGTATTCAAAGGTGCTACAAGGAGGAAGAAAAAAGTTTATTTAATCAAATTAGGAATAAATCTTAATCTCACAAAGCAACTTGAAAAATCATTATCAACCACCATCTAATGAAGGAGATAATTACAAAAAAAACACATGTTGCACTTCAATATCAATCTGAAGGCCTATTTGACATCATCGTAAATTATTCATTGACGTGAAATCTAATATAATTTCATCTTGACAAGAAAAAATCGAATTGAAACAAAATGTATCATCGATCGATACTTCTCAATCTTCCCAAATCCCAATCGACTGACATTGAATTCCAAAATGTCATCTACACTGTTCAAATCGGTTTTCGAAGTCCAAATAAACAGATTCTTAAGGGAGTGAGTGGTTGTTTCAAAACGGGTGAATTAACCGCTATTATGGGACCCTCGGGCGCTGGAAAGTCCTCTCTGCTTAATATCCTTACAGGTCTACAGAGAAAGAATGTCGATGGAAAGGTTGCCTATATAACCGGGAAAGTTGAACAATCCTGGAACGATTACAAAAAGCAGGCATGCTATATTCAACAAGACGATCAACTTTATCCTCTTTTCACTGTTAACGAAATCATGACAATGTCAGCTGACCTGAAACTTGGTCAAAGTCTAAATTCCAAGGGGAAGCAAATGGTCATTGATGACATTCTTGATTCATTGGATTTAACTAAATGCAAAGAGACAAGGTGCGATCGACTTAGTGGTGGACAAAGAAAAAGACTTAGCATTGCCCTTGAACTCGTCGATAATCCACCTGTTATTTTCCTTGATGAACCCACTACAGGTAGGAAAATTAATTTTTTCATAAATAATGAAAAAAATAACAAAAAAAAAAACCCGAACACTGTAAACTTGATGGTATCATTTTGGAATGCAACGTTTTTATTCGATATAAGGTATCAAATTGATCCAAATATTTGAATCATTTTCAAGAAATGATCCAGAATATGGGATCATTTTTTGATACCTGAATTGGTATCAAAGTATAACTGTCATGGCTGGCATGCTCTTATTGACAAGTTTATTAATTAATTTATTCACTGCACTGAATATTCAGATATTAAAAATACTTTTATTCAGAATTTTAAAGAAAGAGAGAAGCGAAAACTTATAAATTGCGAGCAATTAAATAAGAAAAAATTTATTTCGAAATAAAATGATAAACACTAACCTTTATTTATGTTTATCACATAAGATTTAAGTTAAGTTCACAATCACAACACTTGAAATTTTTTAATTATTTTTGTGTTTCAAATAATTATCAATAATTTATTTATTATAAATGAACAAAATTTAAGTAATGCACGCTTGATAAATATTTCTAATGCGTTGTCAATTAATGCAATTAATAATTTCCTATTACACAATAACATAATCGACATATATGACATTTGTAAACAAACAGGGTTGGGAAACAAGAGCCCAAAATATGTTCGTCCAAAGTAGAGTTGGGTAGGATTGATATTCGCTTTGGACGAATATATTTTGGGCTCTTGTTTCCCAACCCTGTTTGTTTACAAATGTCATATACAGTCGAATCTCCCATTAGTTAATTTTCCCCTATCACGTACCCCCTCTACCTAAAAAAAACTTTTAGTCATTACACATGCGCATAGTGATGCCAAGATGGCTGACACATAAATAAACATAACCTCGTCTACAAACGTGTTCTATGATCATCTGTGACTTAGTTTAATACTAATTTAAAAATTTTTTCGTAAATGGGAGGATATTTCTTTAAAAGAATTACAGAAGGAGCATTGTGATAGTCCTGATCTCAACAATAACTGTGATACACAAATATGTTGAATTTGACAAACTGTCAAAAAAGATTTTTAATTTTAAAAAAATACTAAATTCAAAAAATCTCAATATTCTATTTTATTTTTAAATAGGAAGTTAAAATATATATTTTCGTTATTTGAATTTAAAAATACAGTTTATTTGAATTATAATTATAATAAAAATTTATTTCAATTTATGTTATTTTTAGTTCTCAAGTTAACATGTATGTCTACGATGTTTAACAATGTTCTTCTAAAACGTGTAATTAACATCTTGTACCACTACCTAAAATAAAAACATTCGATTCATGTTTAAAAGAATTTTCTTTTAATTTAATTGAATTTTGTTTTTTTTTAATTTAATTTAATTATTAAATAATTGTTTCACTGATGTAGCTGCATCATTTATGAATATTAATTCCTTATGGCGCACTCACACCTTTTTTGGCTGCCTGCCTGCCTGCAGGTTACCATGGCAACGCACGAGTGTGAGTGAGACAGAAAATTTGAATATTCAAATTTTTAAATTTTCTGTCGCACTCACTCTCATGCGTTGCCATGGTAACCTGCAGCCAGCCAAAAAGGTGTGAGAGCGCCTTTAATAATATTTCCAATTAACTCAAATAATATTTTATCATGAATAAAATTCCGTCCATGATTTATAAAATTAATAAAAGTATTTAAAAGAATAATACAAGTATGTACCGACAATGTTTTTCACAGTCAACTAAACTTATATTAAATTAAATATTCAAACATTTCTAATAACTCATTTACTTCACAAGACTTCAAACATATATTTTGAAATTGACCGCCATGCGCAATAGGTCACTGCGCAACTATTTCTCCTTACACGGCAATTCTCTCATAAGTTAATCCCCCACCAGAATTAACTTATGGGAGATTCGACTGTATGTCGATTATGATATTGTGTAATAGGAAATTATTAATTGCATTAATTGACAACGCATTAGAAATATTTATCAAGCGTGCATTACTTAAATTTTGTTCATTTATAATAAATAAATTATTGATAATTATTTGAACCATTAAAATAATTAAAAATTTTCAAGTGTTGTGATTGTGAACTTAACTTAAATCTTATGTGATAAACATAAATAAAGGTTAGTGTATTTCATTTTATTTCGAAATAAATTTTTTCTTATTTAATTGCTAGCAATTTATAAGTTTTCGTTTCTCTCATTCTTAAAATTCATAATAAAAGTATTTTTAATATCTGAATATTCAGTGCAGTGAATAAATTAATTAATAAACTTTTCAATAAGAGCATGCCAGCCATGACAGTTATACTTTGATACCAATTCAGGTATCAAAAAATGATCCCATATTCTGGATCATTTCTTGAAAATGATCCAAATATTTGGATCAATTTGATTCCTTATATCGAATCAAAACGTTGCATGAGTTGATCTTAATTCTTGTATCAATTTGATACACACAAGAAAACTGTGAAAAGGAGAATAGAATTTCATAAATACTGATTCTTTTGTTAAATTATTGTGGACAATCTTAGAACAATATTAAATAAAATATAATTGCTTTTAATAAACAAACGTGTAGCCCTATTAAGAAAACTTTAATTATTAAAACTTGATTTATACAAATTAACGAAATTAAAGAATACAATTTTTAGGTTAGAAATCTTGTTGACGTAGTTGACTTCATTGACAACTGTATTAGTGATTATTCTAAAATTTCCTAGGCATATTGTAGTCATCAATATCTAAAATCAGACACAAGGATTTCCAAAAATATCCACATAATTTTTTTTTATTCCACTTTTTTCAAAAATTCGAAAATAAGTGTTTTAAACAAAAAAATTTTTACACTTTTTTAATTTTTTCTGTCTAAAAAACTGATTTCTCGCTTTGTAACGAATTAATCAACCTATGTAAATTCTATATTTTACTTAAAATCTATAAATTAAATCATTTTTTAATTTAAAAAGAAATAGTATATTTCAATACAAGGGGCCAAACGAGCGTTTTGCTCATTACACGAGTAATGGGCATATGCTCGCGAGGCAACGAGCACGAAGTAATAATAAGGAGCTGGAACTCTATGGGCGATTGCCTGGCAAAAGCGTGCCGGTTTTCTAGGCATAGTACTTAGCAACTAGAATAAACGACAGTGGCGTTCCTTGCGGGTACTTGAAGAAGTTTAATGTTTCCAAGTTTTTTTGTCGTCTGCTTCACTGACAGCACGAAGGCTGACAAAATATAATTTAAACCGAAACATATAAAAGTGTGTTTTAAATATTTATTTTTAAGAAAGTTGTAAAAGTTTTATATATAATGAGTGTAGAAGAAGGGAAGAAATTCGTAGACGTAAGTATTTAATGTGATTACGTTTTGAATTAAAGTAAACAAAGTTGTAATTAATGTTTTCTGCAATGTTTGTTGATAGTTTTTCATTAAAGTTGTTATTGCATTGGTGAAAATTTATTCTTTTAGTTTTCAGTGTTATAAATTTTAATAAAATAAAAAAAGTGAAAATAAGTAAATGATGCCTGCAAATAATTTTTTTTTTCGTTTGTAGGTTATGGTGCAGTGCCGTTTGGAAGAAAACCAAAATTTCGAGTTATTACAAGATAATTTGATGTTAGTACATCTTCCGTCAAAAAGCTGGGGTTATACAAGAGGAAATAAATTTTTTCTTGGTTTTGAGAAGGCTGAGAAAGAAGCATTGATTCGAAAAAGAATTGTATTAAGAATTTTCGACATTTATATTATTGTATATATGTTGAAAGAATGTGATTTTTACAAAAGAAATAAATTGTATATTATTTTTTAAGAATGTAGTTTATTTTAAATATTTTTAAATAAATATTCAATGTACTTTAAACATTTTCGAAGATACAGTAATTTTAAATTATAATTTAAACCAAAAATAAACAAAATGGCGATAAACACATTTCACTATTGATCACGTGATCATCCGTGATTCCACAATTACCCGCAAGGATCGCCACTATCGCCACTAGCTTCTAAGTACTTTACCAAGGGAATCGGCACGCATTTTGACCACGAGTTCCAGCTCCTTATTATTACTTCGTGGCAACGAGTATCGAACCATATTTTTCTTTATAAGTGCAGGCATAACCTCGTTTGACAGCTACTTGCAGCTATTCAAAATGGCCGACTCCCTCATTGTGCGCGCGGACGATGAGCAAAATGTTTTGGCCACCGCTTAACGGTGAGCAAAATACTTTGCTCATCGTCCGCGCGTACAGTGAGGGATTCGACTATTTTGGATAGCTGAAAGTGGTTGCCAAACGAGGTTTTTGCATGCACGTATAAAGAAAAATCATTTTTCGTATTTTTTGAAATATCTTTCTTCTTCATGAAAATTTTTTTATAAATTTTGTCAGAGTTGTATTTTCCTGGCATCAAAACAAATCGATTGATGTATATAAAGTTTACATTTTACCAATATTTATAAAATTGATCGGTATTTTTATTTTTAACGAAAAATTCAAAATTTTGAATTTTTTTAAAACTAATAATATTTAAGTGTTTATCATAATGAGGAAGCTAAATGGTCATGAAATGAACAAATTTTTAACTTGTTTTAAACTTATTTTAAAATTTATTTTTCACCGAATGAAAATTACTTCTAAACTAATTTTTTATTATTATCAAAACTTGATTTTATTCATATTTTTTTAAAAAAACGGAAATTTTAAATTTGTTTAAATTAAATTTTAAAATTAATTTTCTCTTAAAAAAAGAATTCCAATTTTCCTAATTCAGGCCTTGGATTGACTTTAGAAAGTGAAAAAAGTCGTTTTAGCCGATTTTCATTACAACGAAAATCGAATCGATTTTTTTTTATTTTTAATAAATTTTATTCGTTAATAAATATTTCATTATTATTAACATTAATTAGAAATTAAATAAATTTTTATCTAATTCTATAATAATTTTTTACAGGAACATTTCTATCAACTTTTTTTTTAAACTTCAGAATAAAACTAGGACAAATTTTCAAGATTTCAATTCAGTGGGACAAATTTTAAAAAAATAATAATTTAAAAAAAATTTATTTCTTATCCTAATAATTGACAAAATTTATTGAAATTATTACTATTATCAACTGGGCTAAATTTCAATGAAGAATTTCAAGTTACTTTAAAAGAAGAAATAATTCCAAGTCATTGTACAAATTATTCGAATTAAAAATTTTGCCAAATGTTTTAAATAATTAAATTTTCAAAGAAATTGATTAAAATATTATTGAAAAAAATTAATTTATTAATTAAAATTGTTGTAAATTTGAATTGCTAAAAATTATTGACAAAATTATAAACAGTAATTAAATTTTAAATAATTTTTAATAAAAAAATTGAATTAAAAATGATTGAAATAATTAATTTAGCGAAGAATTTTATGTACAAATTTTGGAATTAATCAAATTTGGAAGAGATATATTTAAGCTTTGCTGAAATAATTAATATTTTAGAAGTTATTCAATAAGAATTTTGGTAAATTGGAATTGAGAAAGATTTTTGATAAATTTCAGAAGATAATTGAATTTAAAAAAATTGTTAATTAAGAAATGTGTTTATTAATGGAATTTTCGAAGACTTTGATTAAAGTAATTAGAAATAATTAATTCAAGAAGTAATTTAATTTAAAAATTTTAATATATTTGCAGTTATAATTGTTTAAAACGAGATTTTTAATCAAAATTTTCATAAATTTAAATTGTTTAATATTTTTTTTATAAAATTGAGACAATAACTGAATTTTAAAAATATTTGTACTAAAAAAGTGTTTTAAATAATGAAATTTTCAGCAAATTTTGATGAAAGTATATTTTGTTGAAAAAATTCGAAATAGTCACCTTCATTGAAAAATATCCGAAAAGTTGTGTAATCCGAGGCATGTAATTTTGTTGATTCTTTGGATTTTTTTTTGTAATATCCCATTATTCGAGTTTCAACATAAAATAGGGGAAATGAGTGATAAAAGGGGGAAACACTGTGAAGCCTGTTAATATAACAGAACCGTCTTTATGAATAACATTTTTAATGAACGATTTTCATCTTCATAATAAAAAAGAAATAAATAATTTTGAAATTTGATGTATTCAAAATGATTACAGGACTGGATTCATTGTCATCGATGCAATGTGTCTCGGTGCTGAAAAATTTGGCTCGAGGAGGGAGAACTGTCGTTTGCACCGTTCATCAGCCAAGTGCTGCCATCTACGACATGTTTGATCACGTGTACATGTTAGCAGATGGACACTGTATGTTTCAAGGTGCCGCAGGTAATACTGTGCCTTACCTCAGCAGTCTTGGACTTAATTGTCCAAAATATCACAATCCAGCCGATTACGTCATTGAAGTTGTTTCCTGCGAATACGGAGACTTTAGAAATCAATTGACTGTTGCCGCTAGCGATTCCTCTTGGCGGTTTGTACCTCCGCCAAAGTTGGATAAATTTAGCATTAATGAGGAAGAGGAGAAAAAAGTCAATAGCAATAGAAACAATGGAAAAACAACAGTTCTTATCACCACTCCTTCGGAGATCATAAAATTACGGATACTTGTTAAAAGATGTTGCCTTCAGCTATACAGGGATTGGACTGTGACTCACCTAAAACTTGTGCTTCATTTTTTAGTGGGTATTCTACTTGGACTGAAATTCACCGACTGTGGCTCCGATGGCTCCAAGACTTTTAGTAATATTGGTTTCCTTCTCACCACTACGGTTTATCTTTGCTATACAAGTATGATGCCAGCTGTACTTAAATTTCCCACTGAGCTTCTTGTTCTTCGCAAGGAACACTTTAACAATTGGTACAAATTGCGCACCTATTATTTAGCATTCATCATCACTAATATTCCTATGCAGGCGTTTTTTGCAACTGTCTACAGTTCTGTTTCGTACTATCTCTCGAGTCAACCTCTCGAATTGTTTCGCTTTCTCATGTTTACAAGTAGCGCCATTTTAACAACAATAATAGCCGAAGCTATGGGACTAATTTTAGGTACAACAGTTAATCCAGTAAATGGCACATTTTTGGGTGCAATTAGCGTTTGTGCGATGCTTATTTTTGCCGGCTTTTTGGTACTTTACACACATATGAGCCATTTTTGGTATACAGTGAGTTTTTTGAGTTATTTACGATATTCAATGGAGGCAATGGTATCAGCTCTCTATGGATATAATCGTGAGAAAATGTATTGTCCCGATTTATATTGTCATTATCGAGCTCCACAGACGTTGATCAAAGAACTTGGAATGGACGGTGAGGGCTTTTGGTTTGACGTCACTGTTCTTGGAATTAATATTTTCGTCATTCTATGCATTGCTTATTGTACATTGAAGAGAAAAATTAGCAATTTTTAATTCTATAGACGACTATTAGGACAAAAAAAAAAAAAATTACTAAAATTTTCATCAACAATCTATGAAAATATTCCCCAGAAAAAAATATGTACATATATAATATTAAACGCATATAAAACATAAAGTTTTGAACAAAATATTAATTCGACAAAAAATATATAATTTCGAAAAACTTATAGTGGTCGGTAAATTATTCACATAAATTCACTTTATTTTAGAATTCAACTTGTTTGTATATTAAAAATGTCGTTTTAAGGAGATTATAGGAATTGACTGATCTAATCAAAACAGAATAAACCATTATTTTATGATTTGACTTGCTCGCTACTTTTGAAACGGTTGGCAACACCGCGTCAGTCCCAAAAAATTTAGCTACATAATTTTCAAACTTTATCTAATATTGGATCAATTTTCATTAAATTTGTAATTTTAATACTATTTCCGCTATAATCTCCTTAAATCGAGAAAACTGTTCGATTTAAAAAATTTTTTTATTCATTCATCAAAAGTGCATCCCTCTCAAAAATTCCAAATTTGAATTTTTAAATAATATTGAATTAAAAAAACAAATATAAAAAACCATATTAATAATATTTTATTATTTAAGGAGGAATGGAAACACGTTAACATAACCTCAAAACTGAGTAATTGTTTTTTTTAACAATTCAACGCAAACAAAATTATGATTAAAATTAATTGTAATCAATTTTAGAAGATCTTGTTAATTGCAAAAAAAAAACGATGTTGATTCAAAATCTTTTTTTTAACATTAAATGTTTTTTTCCTTCAGCTCAGGCAAAAATTACAATTTTTATTTAATTTTAATAAACAAGGGCTTATTTTATTTACAGGCTTCCTACCCACATTGTACGTAAGCTTGCAGCAAGCTTGAGGAAAGTTTGCCGCGCAATATTGCCAATCTTGCACAGCAGTATAAGGTTACTGTAAGATTGAACAATAATATTATCGCAAGATTGCTCAGTAAGCTTCCACAGTAAGTTTGTAGCAAGGTTGGTGCATGATTGACAAATAACCTTGCTTTGAACCTAAAATCTTTTTTTTTTTTAATGTTTCGTGAAATTTATATAATTTTATTTTATGAATTTTATTATATAAATATTACCTATATAAATTAGACGAAACATTTTTTTTAAAAAAATTTTTTAGGGTTTAAAGCAAGGTTATTTGGCAACCTTGCACCAACCTTGCTACAAACTTACTGTGCAAGCTTACTAAGCAAACTTGCGATAATTTTATTGTGCAATCTTTCGGTAAGCTTACCGTGCAAGCATTCGTTCAGAGGTGGGACATTTGAAACTTGCAGTAAATTTGCGGCAATTTTGTCGTGGAAGGTTGGCAATATTTCGGGACAAGCTTGACGCAAGGTTGCTAGAATCAGACGGGCTAACTGAGCAGTGCTTCCCCTATTTTTTCCCTATTTAAAAAAAATTCCCCTTTTTCCACTCATTTCCTCTATTTTATGTTGAAACTCAAATAAGGAGATATTTCATAAAAATCCAAATTTGAACCAAAAAATTACATGCCTCTGATTGTACTTTTTCGATTTTTTTCATTGAATGCGACTATATCGACTTATTTTTATAAAATGTGACTTTTTCAACTTTTTTCAATAAAAACTTTACTTTACTTTCATCAAAATTTTTTGAAAATTTTATTATTTAAATTTTTTCTCAAATACAAATATTTTTAAAATTCAATTATTGTCTCAATTTTATAAAAAAAACATTCAACAATTTGAATTTATGAAAATTTTGATTAAAAATCTGCTGAAATTCAATTGTTTTCAACAATTGTAACTGCAATTATTTTAAAATTTAATAATTTTTTAAAGTTAAAATTTAATTTTTTTGAAAAATTTGAATAGATTTTAATTTTAAAATAAATTTAAAAAATAAAAAGCGTTTATTTATCAGATGTATGCAAATTCAAATTTTTATAAAACATTGAAAATGACATTAAAAAAAATTAATTACTATACTGGAAAAACCTCTTCTATAAATATCACTTTTTTCTATAAATTTATCATTTTTTAAAAAATTTGTAAAAAAAAATGTTAGTCTCCATACTTTCTATGTTTTTTTTTTCAATTTTTACCCTTTTTTCAAATAAAATTTCCCCAATTCCCCCTTTTTTTTAGCAAATTTTATGCTGTAAAGCCTGTATTCAGTAAGACATCGTTTTATCTTAAAGGAATTGACTATAATTTTTTGAATTCGAATCGTCAGATTTTATAATAAAAATAATTTCGAATTATTATTTGACAGAATTTTTTAACTTGGAAAGAACATTTTTTATAATTTTCAATTTACCGAGTAATCATTTCTCATAATTATTATTGTAGAGATTTAGGGTTTTTCATAATTTTTATTTTTCCAAAAACCTGTTTATACTATTTTTGATTTTACATAATTACCATTTTTTATAATTTGTTTTTCTTCGAATTACCATTTTGTATAATAAATGTGCGATTCCAGGTGAGATTTTGACTTTTTCAGAGTAGGTTAACCGATTGCAATGAAACATTGGAATTTTGTTATATATTGTAAGATTAATCTTTCACGTAAATTTCAGCTTAAAATATTTCTTAGTTTACGAGATTTGCAATAATAAAAAAAAAATTTAAACTGCTATATCTTCCGTTCTAATAATTGGATTGAGGTCTACTTTTTTTTAAAAATATCAAGGAAAATGAGAGGAATAAATCTCTTTCAGAACAATTTTTTATAATTTTAGAACTAAAAAAGTTATTCAATAATAATTGAATAAATTTCACGCGACAATCTAAAATGCAATCACTTAAACGCTAAAATGATCCTACATGTGTTTTCTTTAATGTTCCAAAGAAATCCAATTGTAAATGCAAGTTTAACTTATTTAATTTTAATATAATTTACGAGTATAAACAATTGCGATTTCTGCTAGTTGACGTGCAGACGACATTGCGCACGCAGCATTCTCACTTATCCAATTTAGTCCACGAATCACGTCAGCTGGTTACAGAAGAATGCTGCGTGCGCAATGTCGTCTGCACGTCAACTAGCAGAAATGGCAATTGTTTATACTCGTAAATTATATTAAAATTAAATAAGTTAAACTTGCATTTACAATTGGATTCGTTTGGAACATTAAAGAAAACACAGGTAAGATCATTTTAGCGTTTAAGTGACTAAATTTTACATTGTCGCGTGAAATTTATTCAGTTATTATTGAATAACTTTTTTAGTTCTAAAATTATAAAAAATTGTTCTGAAAGAGATTTATTCCTCATATTTTCTATGACATTTTGAAAAAAGGAAGACCTCAATCCGGTTATTAGAACGGAAGATAAAGCAATTTAAAAGTTTTTCTTATTATTACAAATCTCGTAAACTAACAAATATTTTAAGCTGCAATTTACGTTAAGGCCAGGTCCAAGTGAGGCAGCGCCATCTACATTGATACTAAAATTTTGGAAAATTTTCAACAGCCTTTTCTTGAAAACAAGATGGTAAAATGCTTATTCCTTTATGGATAATTGATTATTGGCAAGATATACACCAGCTAAAACTTTTTTTGAGTTAAAATAATAAAAAATATTTCATGTCAATAAATTAAATATGAGCACTTTTTTCACAAAAACTGTAACAGTACTTTCTCAGAAATTACAATCAAAAATGCAATTTCCATTTGGAAAATTAATAAACGCTAAAAAATACACGACCTAAGATTTACCAATCACGAAAATAAGAAAAAAAAATTTTATTAAATATTTAACATATTGATACTGCTTTACTGATTGTGACAGCCCTTTGGTAGATTATGTATTTCAGGTGGTTAGCAACAGCGCCAATCTCCTCCTTTCGGCAAAACTGCGAAACGTCTGGTGACATATATAACCTGCCAAAGGGCTGTCACAATCAGTAAAGCAGTATCAATATGTTAAATATTTAATAAAATTTTTTTTTCTTATTTTCGTGATTGGTAAATCTTAGGTCGTGTATTTTTTAGCGTTTATTAATTTTCCAAATGGAAATTGCATTTTTGATTGTAATTTCTGAGAAAGTACTGTTACAGTTTTTGTGAAAAAAGTGCTCATATTTAATTTATTGACATGAAATTTTTTTTATTATTTTAACTGAAAAAAAGTTTTAGCTGGTGTATATCTTGCCAATAATCAATTATCCATAAAGGAAAAAGCATTTTACCTTCTTGTTTTCAAGAAAAGGCTGTTGGAAATTTTCCAAAATTTTAGTTTCAATGTAGATGGCACTGCCTCACTTAGACCTGGCCTTAAAGATTAGTCTTACAATATATAACAAAATTCCAATGTTTCATTGCAATCGGTTAACCTACTCCGAAAAAGTCAAAATCTCACCTGGAATCGCACATTTATTATACAAAATGGTAATTCGAAGAAAAACAAATTATAAAAAATTGTAATTATGTAAAATCAAAAATAGTATTAACAGGTTTTTGGAAAAATAAAAATTATAAAAAACACTAATTCGCTACAATAATAATTATGAGAAATGATTACTCGGTAAATTGAAAAATTATAAAAAATATTATTTCGAAGTAAAAAAATTCTGTCAAATAATAATTCGAAAGTATTTTTATTTATATAATCTGACGATTCGAATTCAAAAAATTATAGTCAATTTCTTTTAGATAAAACGATTTTCGAGAAAATAAAAATTCGAAAAAACAAATTTGAGGTTTAATCATGCGCCTCTATATTTTTATATTTTTAAGGTTATGTGACTGTTAGGTCTGTAATGTTAATTTGTCCGTAACTTTTCTCGTAAAATACTGAACGGATTGAATTGAAATTTTATGGAGGAGTTCCAAATATGATAAAGAATTGTTGTCAAGTGCGAAAATGTTAATATATATTGTTAAATAATTATTATAAGACACATGAAAATAATTAAAAAATGTGGGAGAGTCGGATTTTCTAACAATTTTTATGCCTTTTATTATTTATTTACCAATATATCAACATTTTTGCACTTCACAACCATTTTTTATCATATTTTAAATTCCTCCACAAAATTTCAGCTGAATCCATTCATTATTATACGAGAAAGGTTACGGACAAATTAACATTACAGACCTTACACTCACATAACCTTAAAATTATGTTGTAAAAAAATTATTTACTATATAAAATTTCAATTCTTTATATTTTAAACAATACAATACAATTTACTTTTAACAATATTAAAATATAAACGATTGTATATTATATTTCACTGAATAAAATAAGCCCTTGTTTATTAAAATTAGATAAAAATTGTAATTTTTGTCTAAGTTGAAAGAAAAAACATTAAAATGTTAAAAAACAGATTTTGAATCAACATCGTTTTTCTGCAATTAACAAGATCTTCTAAAATTGATTACAATTAATTTTAATCATAATTTTCTTTGCATTGAATTTTGTTAAACGAAAATTTTTCAGTTTTAAGATTATAATAACGTTTAAAATATTCCTGCTTGAAGAAAGTGCTATTTTTCATTTACTATATTTTTCTAATTTTTGATTACCTATTAAAAAATGTTTTAAATGTCTACGTATAAAATAAGTTCAAGAATTAATTTTTTAAAATAAAAATTCCAATGAAATTTATATATATATATATATTGAAAATGACATTAATATATATATATTATTTAATAAAAAGGTTGAAACTCTAAACGAAAAAAGTTTACGATTTCCTGAGAAAAAAATATAGAATTCGCTTATGTTAATAGACTAGGTCTACGATATTTTGATGAAAAAAATATTTAATGTAAAATTTTAAATAGTCATTCAGAATTTTAAGAAGTATTACTATTTAATAATAATTTAATTATTAGTTTATTGATATATTTTTTGGTATTTTTAATACAAAAATCAGTATAATTTATAATTACCTACAATAAAATAGTTATTTTTTTAAAATTAAACATTACGATACTTTTTCTTAAATAATAAAAAAAAATTGTAAAAATTTATTACAAATTCTTAATAGTATTAATTTATTAATAAGTTTATCTGAAATTTAAAAAAATATTTCTTTATTTTTTGCAAGTTCATCAAAATTCTGCTTTATATCATAAATATATAATATATTTATTTATTCTTTACACATTATTATCATACCCATCAATCTTTATTCTTTCAACATCTATATACTTACAAGAATAAATTTTCTTTATATTAATCCATGACCGCATTTAACATTTTTTTCCTGGTCATTTTACTGTGTTATAAAAGTTTCTTTTTATAAGTCTGCGAACCGGAATTCTTATTCTAATAACTTTTTTTTTTGAAACCTTCTTATTTTACTCACGATGGTTGCAAATGTCTTTTACAGAAGCAAAATAAGTGGTCCAGGGACGGTGAGTTTCTGTCTCCATTGCAGAAAGATTTGTAAAAATTCAACTTAATAGTATATATCAGAGATATCATAAAATCGTCGGAAGACGATAATACAAAATAATTAAATAATTCCCTGACATTTGTATATAAGCAATGCCAAGGTTTCGAAGAAAAATTATATCAAGAGTGCCAATCAAATAGCATTCAGGCGTACTTGCGTTTGCGAAGACGAAAAATGGGCTACTCTTTACAATTTTTTTTACAGCAATTTTAATATAAATTTAAAAACTATTTTTTATTCCTGAAAATACATAATTAAAACTACAAACAAGTTGTAAATTCAGATGTTCATTACATGAACATTTTGCTTCCTCTTTACGATCAGCAAAATTTTATTGCCAAAATGTGAATTTTTGATTTTTTAACTCTCATTAATTCTTTAAATTTACCTC